AGATTTTATTAATGGTTGGAAAAGGTCAAAGTGGTGAAATTTTCTTTTTATGCAATAGATCGGCAAACGGCCTGACGGATTACCTGATGGTAAGTAATCAGCGCCGCCCATGGACCGCAACGGAGGAGTTACGAGTGCGTTGCCTTTTAGGGATTAGGGATTTGGAGATTGAGGGATTGGGGAAGGATTGAGCCTCCGGTAACCTCACTCACACGGCGAAACACAACGCTGTGGTTGTTTCACGCCGGTTTTCTGTGAGGCCGTGGTATCACTCCGGTCGAGCCGACCCATTCGTGCCTAAGCATGGCTCTCCCACACTTAAATTCCTCGCAGTTGTAGACCAAAGTTTCACAACGAACGTTCTAAGTATAATTTTAACAGGAAATATTACGTGCTAAACTCTGATCTAGCCTATCTCCGTCCTATTTTTCATCCAAAACATATTACTCCATTACCATATTAACCAGTTTCCAGCATCATGTGGAACCTCTTACTCTGAATGACTCTTCATTATCATATTAACCCGGTTTTTAAGCTTAAAAACTAATTACTGAAGCTAATTAGGTAACGCAAAGTTTTAAGGCAATTAATGAAAAGTTTTCAGCACTCTGTGTGTTCTAGGGTTTATAATTGCTTTGTTAATTATGTAGATACATACGCGAAAATAGTTAGGTTAATAAGTTTCATGATATGGGTAAATATTGTTTTATTTTTTTTACGCCATCTTTTGGCCATTAACTCCCTGGTGGTTAGCGAAAATGTTGCCTACCAATGATATTTTTCATATTTAATTTTGTCTCTTTTTCACTCGCGATTATTGAATCATGCCATCTCACTTTGACGCCTAATCATACCAGTTCTTCTTGTGTGCATCAGTGTGCCGTTTTTGAAAATCGAATGTTGTTTATGTAACCTATCTACACCAACCTAATACCTATCTACATAACCTATTTACTTATAATATATCATTGTTGTCTATGATGAAGTACACCTACCCAAAAGCAACCTATTCACGCAGGTTTTGAGATGTGATTTCACGCAGATTACCCCTTTTTTGTAACGGAAAAATCATCAAATGACTTCTCCCGTCCAGAGCGGGGAGGGAATGTCAGACTCTTACTGACTAAAAACCCCCCCGTCCCTTCTTCTGCTTTAGGCCGAGACCGCGATGACTTACTGTGCTTGCCCTGCAACCCCAGCTAGCCCAGGTTACCCCTGGCAGGTATTAAACTCTTTAGTGGTTCGGATAATAAGCTTGAAATTATTAAGTAAATAACAATTCATCGGATCGTTTTTATTTAAATAAAAACTTTTTAATCTACACTAGGAGCATTGAATAGTGAATTATTTGAATAGAAAATAAAGTCAATCCACGTAGAAACAGGAAACGTATTGTAATATTCATAAAGCATGTTTCCACTTTATCCTATAGACTAAATCACAAAGAAATCCATGTAATTTCAAATTTAAAATAAAACTGGAACGATTGAAGACATTCTTTCGCTCCCAGACAATGTCCTTAAACAGATTATTTTGGGATTTGACTTAAATAGACGGATGGACGAACTCAAATATAATTTAACACCTTTGAAGAAAAGATGAAGATAACTTTTTCCGAAATGGCGTAAGTACCAACCTAATGAAATATTAAAATTGATGTAGCCTTTTAATATCCAAAAAATATTAATAACAATTGCCAAGTTACCTACTACGTACTGTAAGAAACTTAGCAACGAATGTAGGTATAGTGAAATAAAAACTAAAAACATATTTGTATTTTTTGTAAGAAAACTTTTTGCTGTTAGCCTTAAGTTTTACATATTTTATATTAGGTACCTGCTATTCATGGTATGTGAATCTGCATTTCTAAGTTTTATGGTGATAAAAGAAATAAATGTGTGTAATAGTTCGTTAAAGTTGAACCCTAAAAACAGTAGTCAAAGAAGTTTTTTTTTGTGTGATTGAAATGAAAAGTTTAGGAGGGCCATGCTTCGGCACGAATGAGTCGGCTTGACCGGAATGATACCACGGCCTAACAGAAACCGGCGTAAAACAACTACAGCGTTCGCCGTGTGAGTAAGGTTACCGGAGGCCGAATCTTACACTCTACCAATCCCTAAATCTCAAAATCGCCAGTAGGTAGTAGACTACCCAGAATGTCGTAAATTTTTCAGGACACAAGTTGGCGACGAAATTGAATATGGTTATAGGTAGATCATGATCATAGTTTTTCCAGATCGAAAGAACCTTCTTTCTAGCAGCTAAAACTGCACTCCAACTGACTTCCATGATCTTGGAATTGATGCTCAAAATGATAGATTCTTACTTACTAAAACTTACTTGCTAAACAGATCTTGTTCAAAAACATGGTTCCATTGGAACTAGGTATGCATTGCAAAAATAAATTGTCTATGGTGTAATTAATTTTTAATTAGCGATTTTTATTGAGTGTGGGCTGTTCTGGTAGTTAATTACTTTTTTATGGACGAAGTAATTATTTGCACTGTTCATATTTAACACTGTTTTTTTTTATATTTCTTAAGTACATACTACATAAGTACCTATTTTTATCTTAAGTTAGACTATAGAAAAGTAAGTAAGTACCTCCATCGTTTTTATAAGTAGTGTGTACAGAATAGTGATATAATTGAAATCATTAATTATAAGTAGGTAATATTTATTCGAATTGAATCAACGCATCACTTAGAACAAAATACTTAGGTATTTTTTTTAGTGTAGGAAAAGTTAAATTATGTGCCTAGGTACTGGACCTTTTCAGAGTTAGGAATTTGAAGATTGGTCTCTGAACTTACACGGCGGAAAACACTACCTACAAGCTTTGTTTCACGTCAGTACCTATTCTGTGACGCCGTGTTTGCCGTGTTGCCGGCGAGTCGGTCCATTCGTGCCGAGGCATGGCCCTCCCACACTTAAAAATTATATCTGTGTACCTATATTTTTGTTTTTACGTTACTATTTACTGGAAAAAGTATCTACCTACATATGGTAAATGGTGACACTAAGGAACCAAACAACTATAGGCCTGTGTCTGTTTTACCGGTTCTTAGCAAAGTGTTTGAAAAGTTAATGCTATCTCGGATGCTTCATCACTTTGATAAACATGCCATCTTCCATCACCAACAATACGGTTTCACTAAAGGTCGTTGTACAACTGACGCCGGTGTCACTTTGATAAAGGAGGTATTCGGTGCTTGGGAGGAAGCACAGGATGCTGTTGGTGTCTTTTGCGACCTCTCAAAGGCGTTCGATTGCGTTGATCATGAAACACTCTTGCTGAAATTAGATCATTACGGGATTAGACATACTGCACTCCGTCTACTAAAGTCATATTTAGAGGATAGGCTAGCTATTTTCACAGCATTATGTCGTACGGAATTTTGCTATGGGGTCGAGCTGCGGAAGTAGATTCAATATTTATTTTGCAAAAGCGGGCTATCCGAGCGATATATAACTTGTCCCCTCGTGAATCTCTGAGAGAACTATTTAAAACGATAAATATCCTAACGGTACCTTGTCAGTTTATATATGAGAATATTATGTACGTAAGGAAAAATTTGCAATTATTTGAAAAAAGAAGCGATAGACACAATTTTAATACCTACTAGAGGCAAAGATAGGCTGGCTGTGCCACGATTCCGTCTGTCCAAAGTACAGAAATCCTTTATGGGGTTCTGTGTAAATTGCTACAATAAAATTCCAAGAAGTGTATTAAATCTTAATGAACGAAAATTTAAAACTTATATTAAACGCGAATTATGTAGACAGGCATACTACAAACTTTCAGATTATATTGAGGATAAGTATGCCTGGCAGCATGTTGGTTCGGCTCCACTGGACAATTCTCAAATATGTAGTCAGTTGTTATTAAAATTCTCAAAATTAATGAAACCTTGAATGAGTTTATATAGAAGCATTCTTTTGGATTGTGAGTACGCATATGTGAGCGCCATGTACGAGACAACAAAGGATTAAAATTTTAATGATAGATTAAATAGACCATAATTTTTGTTCCTTTTTATTAACAACTTGTCTCTGCATTGTTCTCACATAGGGGTACAGTAATGTATAAAAAATGTATTATTGATGAATTGTAAAACAAATATTTTTTTTTAAAAGAGTAACGATGGATTTTCTTGCTCGTTCTTCTCCATTCGAAACTACAATTTGGAACGAGCACCTAGCTTCGCTGACGAACAGACTGACAGACTACTACCTATTCTATTTTGACGTTTCAAAAGTACCTATTTATGGTTTATTTGGAATAAATGATTTTGATTTGATTTGATTTGATTTATGATGACATCATTTGAACTGAACATTTAATTGGGTACCGAGTAAGTTCGGGTTACTTTGACCCTGCGGGATAATTTTGATCCAAACCCCTTAACCAATAATAACTGAGAACCAAACGTATATTCGTTTTTCATTGGTTCGAAAATTTGGATCAAAGTTACCTCCCAGGGTCAAAGTAACCCGAACTTACAAAAAAAATATTCTAAAATATGTGAAATGTTATCAAGCGGAAAGCTACAGATATTTTTTTCCCATAAAATACATAATTTGGACAAAAATGTTATATTTATTTTATGATACTTGAATTTCGCGCTAAAACCCAAGTTGGTACTGACGTGACAGCAACACGCGTAACCATGGCAACCATGTGATGTGACCAATAATATAAATTCTATGGCCGATCTTGTTGATTTTGTGACGTCACAAATTGTCGTGGCGTTTTACTTTGTTGTTTAACTTTTTTTATAAGATAATGTCATTTGTTTTTCCAAAATATGAACAACAAATTTTTTTCGATATAAAATAAACTACAAGAAATTATTTACTTTTAAGGTAGATCATTCATTACCTTTATTTTACTTTTGAATCAAATTAATTGTCAAATTAATAACAGAAGTAAAAAATAACGATCTTTACAAACAGAATCGCTATTGTCAAAGTGTCATATGTCAATAGGGGGTAACTGTCAAAAACAGAATAATTTCTTGGAAAATTGTATTGTTTATTGTTTGTTATTTTGCGACTCATCCTCGTATTCATCTTGCGGATTCTTTGTGTTTCTCTTAAAAATGGATAATAACTTACAACATGAAGATTTGTTGATAAAATTGCGCGGTAAACTGAATCAAGAAAAGGTGAAATTATGGGAAGCTCCATTTATTACCCAAGATAATGAAATTACGCAAAACTTTAAGGTAAAATATTATCAATAGACTGCATTTGTTTGGATGGAAAACTTGTAGCCATACAAGCTCTTATATTTTTACTTATCGTTTGACTTACTTGTGTCAGTTTTGATTTTCTTTCTGATATAGGAACAAATATTTTTAGTTGCCAAATATAATTAACTAGCTTACCACCCGCGGCTAGACACGCGAGGGCGTAGATAAAAGTTAACTTTTCGAATTCCAACACAAAATAATACTCTCAGAATACTTTCAAAATAAGTCCATATGACTAAAAATGTATTATAATTTGTTTACAGGATATAGTCACGAAATATGCAAAAGAACTCAGTTTAGAAACTGATGTAGTTCAGCAAGCTTTGCGTGAACTTCAATTACACTCGCTCGAGCGGTCTAAGGATAATGAGGAGTTCAAAGAGACAGGGCTTGCATCCTTTAGGATCAAAGCCACTATACCTGGTGAAAAACCAAAGATGATGAAATTTCAAAAGAAGCTTGAGTGCCTTGGATCTGAGCTGATAGCTGCCATTGCTGCGGAGATTGGTGTTACAGAGAATAGGTATATAGTTTTAGATTATGTCTTTGTTTTATCTGATCATTACATAATCATCACAGTATAGTATTTTGCCCTTGTAAATTGAGGTAACCAGTTATAAATATAAACTTATAACTTTTTATCTGTACTGTACTGTGACCAGCAAATAGCTTCACTAAGAGGACTGACCGACAGACTGACACTATATCTTCAAAATTTTGTTTGACATTCAAAAGTGCCTGTAAAGGTCTAATTGGAATAAATGATTTTAGACTTTTGATTTTTTGACCATATTTTATACAAAAATTCCATATTTTTGTATAAAATAATTACATACATATATTCAACAATTTTTTTTATTTGCAACACCACTGCCTGTTTCTACATTTCTTATATTGTATTTTATAATAGGGTGACCTACATTTTTGTTTTAACTTTCAGAGTGAAGTTAATATTCAACGGGAAAGTAATTAAGCCTACCCCTAGCTTGGAGCAGCAAGGGTTGAAAAATGGAGCTACTATGATGGCCCTCGTAATGGCAGGTCTGTATTTCTAAAGTTATTTTTGAAGCTTTGCTATTGCTCATGCTACTAATACACATCATAAATAATAAAAAAAACACTATAATATATAAGTAGCTATTTGCAAAAGTGTATAATTCACATTCTGATATTGCTTGAAACATTTTTTAAATTATGTCATGTAACTTATCTTTTATAATATATCTCTCTTTGCCTATTGTATGAAAAATTGGTCACACATTTTATTATTTATGGAAAACAATTATTTCCAGGATAACAGAAAATACAGAAAAGAGACTGACCTCTGGGTTTGTTTTGGCATTTTTTGTAAGAATAGTCAAATAGGTAGTCCAATAGTTTAGGGTCACCAATTTTTTTTTTTTTATGAAATGCCATGCTGTACATTGATATTATTAAAATGATTTTTTTTTTAATATACTGTATGAACCTTCATACTACCCATGTATATATTTGACATTTCAAATTGCAATTTTATTGCTTATTAATAAAAATAAATCCTTTCTACATTCACTACCAGTCAGTTGGAGCCCACTGATATCAAACAACATTAATCAATGGTCAACAATGTTTTATGCCTCGTAGAAACTCCTGAGGAGGTAAAAAAAGAGGAGAATATGTACATGGAGATGAAGACAGTCCGAGATGATGCCACACTGCTGTCCGAGTATGTTGACGAGCTGGCTGATGATGACGAGTATGTAAAGGTCAGTCATTGTATTATATTATTATTAATTTTAATTCCCTCTTCCTCTTTTATAAAAACGTTGCCCCACACTTGGATTGTCTCCTATGTCGTGTCGTCGGGTGTGGTTACAAACATACCATTTCACAAACACATCACACCCAGACCCGGAACAATAATTTGTGGAGCATATAAAGAGTTGTTCCGTGCGGCAATCGAACTCGCGACACGTTGTGCGGTAGCAAGTTGCTCAGCCACCATGCCAACCCTAAAGTTAATTAGCTCGTACATACGTGGAAATTACTAATATCGTTTTAAATCAGTACTGTGAATTTGGGTATTTGCAAGGATTAAGTTCAACTTTAGTTATAATTATGCTGTTTTTTTTTATTAAAAATATCAATAATGAAACAATGATATCAATGATGTCGATTGTAACCTGTTGTAATTGCCTTATAATATTGCCTTAAAATAAAATAAATGAATAAAAATGAATTTATTTTTGCAAATAGGCAATAAAACGGCACTTTTTTACGTCAATTTATATGTGAAAAACTAGATGAAAAAGAAATAATGTAAGTAATAAATAAACTATTTATTTCTCTTAAAATATAATTTCAATTGCCTATTATGAAGCCGCACGCTTCCCACGAATAAGAGTGCGGTTCCGACTTGTCACTGGTAGAGGATTTATCAAATATTTCACGTTGTTAAAAAATTTAGGTTTATTCCGTTATTTTAATTATTTATAGCCTGACTTTTTAGTACCTACATTTTCTTTTAAGGGACTTGAATGTTATTTATAAGATTGTTATTTTACTGACGTGTCCAGTGTACAGTTACAAAAACCCAACTGAATAAATAATTTGTACATTGAACATAGTTTTTGGTAAACACAACTGTGCTAACAATCTAACACAAATAGTATTTTATTTGGAATATTGACATTACTCATATCAGTTTGATAACATGTTTATAAATGATACCTATTGTTTAAAATAAGTTTATGTTTAGTGAAATAAGAAAAACATCCAGATGTTTGAAACACGTGAATTTTAAAGTGTGTGAGACTTGACCGGAGTGACACCACGGCTTCACAAAATACCGACGTGAAACAACCACAGCGTTGTGTTTCGCCGTGTGAGTGAGGTTACCGGAGGCCGAATCCTTCCCCTCCCCCGATCCCTCCCAATCCCTAACTCTCCAAAACCCTAATCCCTAAAAGGTCGGCAACGCACTCGTAACTCCTCCGTTGCGGGTGTCCATGGGCGGCGCTGATTACTTACCATCAGGTAATACGTATGCTAGTTTGCCGACCAATTACATAAAAAAAAGCACTTCAGTATGTTAATCAGTATGTTTTTCTAAAAGCGCTGTTTACACAATACAATTTCTTTTTATGGAAATTACCAAGAGGTTAAATGACACCTAACTCTTGTAAATGTATGAGAAAAGCTAGTTTCAGGGTACAACGGGACTCGATTCTTCAGTACTTTGTAATATTGTCTGTTGTTAAAACATTGTAAGTAATCTGATAAAATATTGTGGGTTAAAGTGGTAATATATTTGTCACACTAGTGTATATTCGAGAGATGATCTCCACCACCGTGGGCGCGGGTCTGCGGACGGCGAGTAGCTCGTCGCCCGACCAGAACCAGACCCGAGCGTACGGCGCGTATCGTCCGCGCGCGTCTTAAAGAGCCAATAGACCACCACAGACGGGCCCTAGATGTTCAGCCGGGGTTGCGGGTTAAGCGCAATAAGTCACCGCGGCCTCGGCCCAGAGCAGGAGAAGGAACAAGGGGTTTTTTAGTCAGTATGAGTCTGACATTCTCTCTCGCCTTACCCTGGCCGGGAGAAGTCATTTGATGATTATATAGTATACCTACTTATAAAATACGTATACTAGTACTGTTATGTAACTGAATGTTTTTTTATAGTCTATCGATTCAGGTATTGTATAAAATACATACAAAGATTATTTAAATTAATTTTATTAGCTAACATGGTTAACATAATGGTCACCGGAAAATTTATCGAAAACATTTGATCGAATTACAACTCATCGACACATTTTATCAAAAAAAAATATTCGCCGAACGACAATTTTTCGAACGTCGAATGACAATTGGTGGAAAACAATACATCGAATAGAATTCGAAAAAACAGTCGATAGGATAACAATTTATCGAATTATAATTCGTCGAATGAGACGTGCTGAAAAAAAATCTGTCCTTCGTAAAAATATTATACAGAGATTTAATAGAATTGTATATCTATACTAATATTATAAAGAGATAAAATTAGTAAGATTGTATGTAGGGGGTAATCTTTGGAACCGCTGGTCGGATTGCCAAAACTATTTTACTGATGGAGAGCTACAATGTTCCTGAGTGTTGTAGGCTATAAAACATCACGCTACGATAAAATGGAGCTAAGCAGCGGGTGAAACCCCGCGTGAGTAATATATTTAGTTAGGAGAGATTTTTTTCTAGCACGTCTCATTTGACGAATTATTGTTCGATCAATTATTATTCGACCAATTGTTTTTTCGGCGAATTGTTTTCGACGAATTTTCATTCGACGTCTTGTTTTCGACTAATTGTCATTCGACGAATTGTTTTCGACCCATAGTTTTCGAGGAATTACCATTCAAAGAATTGTCGTTCGGTTCGCTTTGGGTTTGATGACTTGAGGGTAAAGGTTGTTGTCCCCGGTGGTGTTGCAGCTGGAGGACCAGTCTGGCGCGACGGTGGAGCTGCCCCCGGCGGAGCGGCGCGCGCTGGTGGTGGGGCTGGCGCTGCACGAGCGCGGCCGCACCGCCGCCAGGCAACACGACTACTCGCTCGCACTCGTGCTGCTGCTCGAGGCTGACCGACAGCTCAGGTACTGCTCTATACACTACTACCTACTCTCGCTGCTCGGCTCCATTTGATCCTAGCGTGATTCTTTATAGTACTCAAGAAAATTTTAGTTGTCTATCGGTAAAAAAAAAATCATAAACCGAAGCGGTTCCAAAGATACCTCCTACATACAAACTTACTACCTCATAATAATATTTGTATAGACTTGGAATTATAACCTACGAATTTCTGTGAGTGACTTTCTTTATTCAGTTTGTCTATAGCACTCAATTATTTGTAATACGTACGTTAATTTTATTATATCCTTCTTCCGCGTAGTCATTATAGCAAAAGTAGTAGTGTTACTATACATATTATTACCATCTTATCTTACATTGTGGATGCAATAAAGAATTATGATTATGATTATGATTATAGCCTCTGGGGTTGCGGGGTTAGCGCAATGAGGCACCTCAGCCTACAGCAGGAGAAGAAACAGGGGGTTTTAGCCAGTAAAAGTCTGACACTAAATCATCAAATGACTTCTCCCGCCCGGAGTCGGGCGGGAGAAGTCATTTGATGATTTTCCCCTCACAAAAAAAGCCTCTTTTTATAGGTAATCTAAAGAAGTTAGATTTTTGAAGAAGAATACCTAATAATAAACGTCTATCCGTCTATTAGGTATAGACGGATGGCTTACTTCGCTAAAATCCTTACTTAAAGTGTAGGAAAGCTAAGCTTCGGCATGAATGGGGAGGCGCTACCTTTACTCGCCGTCCGCAGACCCGCGCTTACGTTGGCCGGAGATCATCACCTGATCTCCCTCACGCGCTTTGCTTCTTCTTTGCGAGCATCACTGCTTTGCAGAAAGAGGAGACGATATATTGTATGAATTTGAACTTGAACATTAAGTATTGAAGATAGTGAAACAGCTCTAAGAGTCCTTTAAGCTAAGTTTTTGCGTATATCTGTTTCGGAGTGGTATTGTAGGTAGTGTTTGGTTGCAGCGAGTGTAGGTCGGGCATCCTGTCGTCGGTGGACAACTGGGCGGTGCTGCAGCTGGACGTGTCGTGGTGCTACCTGTGCCTGCGCAGCCTGCCGCACGCGGCGGACGCGGCGGCGCGCCTCCAGCGGGCCCACGCCGCCTTCCGCGCCTCCTACGGGGAGGACCATTCCAGGCTCATCGCGCTTAAAGGCAGCGCAGGTCACTATACTTATTTACTGTATTATTACCTTTACGGACTTACTTCTTAAGAACCGACTAAATTATGTAACAAAGAAATGTATTGTAAAACTGATTGAAAAAGAGTAACCATGGAGTTTCTTGCTCGTTATTCTCCATAGGAATCTACACTTTGGAACGAGCAAATAGCTTCACTAGAGAACAGACGGACAGACTGACACGCTTAATTTTAAAGCTCTTTTTATATACTTTTTTCCTTTTTTGCTTGCTTGACGTTCAAAAGTGCCTACTGTGGTCTAATTGAAATAAATTATTTTTGACTTTTATTCTTCAAAATAAGTCCCCTTTCCCAACTATCTGATTGCTTGAAAAAAATTACGTTTCTAAACTTATTCGCAATGTAATTACAAAGATCTTGATTTGTTATTAAATTGACGCCTGTCGACGTGATTTCATCGAATGTTGAATAGGTATCAAATAGTTTCGTAAATTATTATGTCGTTTTTGCAATCGAATGATGAAATCCCATACAGAATAAATTAGGTCGGGAAGGACACATTTGCTGAAGAACCGATTTGATTACCGTTGCGGTAGACGTGTTCTATAGTGGAGACCACGTCTAAGCAAACTTAGTAGATATAGCGCACCATCCACCTTAGTGGACAGACGATATCCGCAGGGTGGCTGGCAGTGATTGGATGAGAAGACCTGAAAATCGAACTCAGTGGCGTGCAATCGGAGAGGCCTACGTCCAGCAGTGGACAGTAATAGAATGATGTCGAAAAAGAAGTCAAAATATTTATTAATAATTTCTGCTAAAACATAAATGGTTACTTTTGAAACGTCAAAATAGAATAGTAGTCTGTCAGTCTGTTTGTCAGTGAAGCTCATTCCAAATTGTAGATTCAAATGGAGAAGAACGATCAAGAATATCCATCGCTACTCTTTAAAAAAATGTATGATAATAATGAGTAGTGTGATACAACATCATACTACTCATTATTGTGAGTGTGTGTGTGTGTTATAAGTGTGGGAGAGCCATGCTTTGGCACGAATGGGTCGGCTCGACCGGAGTGATACCACGGCCTCACAGAAGACCGGCGTGAAACAACAACAGCGTTGTGTTTCGCCGTGTGAGTGAGGTTACCGGAGGCCCAATCCTTCCCCGCCCCAATCCCTCCTCAATCCCTAAATCTCCAAATCCCTAATACCTAAAACGTCGGCATCGCACTCGTAACTCCTCCGTTGCGGGTGTCCATGGGCGGCGCTGATTGCTTACCATCAGGTAATCCGTCTGCTCGTTTGCTAACCAATTACATAAAAAAAAAAATTGTAAAATATATGTGTATGTATCTTGCAGCGGACGAGCGTGTCCTGCTGATGCGGCTGTACCTGCTGCAAGGCATCGTCTGCTACCACCAGAACAAGCGCGACGAGGCACGCGCGCTGCTCGCCAAGGCGGAGACCGAGCTCAACGCGCTCAGGGTAAGTATTATTAGTATAATTACACTTAGCGTCGATAAGTCATTATATTATAAAAAAAAACTATGTGTTACGTTACCTGAGGCCCAATCCCTTCGTCGTCGTACGTCAGCTCTCTTTTTTATTAAAAACATCTCGTTACGATTTGCTGATATTTATTTGAGGAACAATGTATCTAAAAATGACGTCTAGCTTTTAACAATTTAATACAAATGTAAACATTACAAATTTATTATGTTAAAAAATAGTAACTAGGTCTTAAAAATCCGGGATGATAAGCGCTAATTACTGGTCATGGGACAAGAGGAAAAATTCTGGGACAATCCTGGATTTCTCGGCGATTTGGTGAGCCTACTTACAGGAGTTGCAGTGGTTTTGTGAGGTTGTGGTGTAGTTTGTCGCAATTTAAAGCCGTGTTGTGTGTTGAGGTGGACGAGGCGGGCGTGGTGTCGCTGATGGAGCTGGGCTGGTCGCGCGGCGCGGCCCGCACGGGGCTGCGCGCCGCCGCGGGGGACGTCGACGCCGCGCACCACTACCTCGCCCACAGGAAGGCGCAGCGGGACCGCGCCAGGGACGCACATCGCTCCGACAGGTACGCCACCGACACATACTCAAACACTTTTCTCTTTTTTTTTCTTTTAAAAAATCGTTGTTGGAGCGTGATGTGACTGACAACGAAGAAGGAGGATGATCTAAAAAATCCTCAGTGGACTGTAAGACAGGATATATTGCTCGAAGTAAATAGGTTTACACAATATAGATAGTCGCGTCTACAGAGCAAACAAAAAATGACTAAATGCGCAAGCGCGTGCGTTCTTCGGGCTAGTGCCAATTGACTAGCAGTGTGGTGGGGCCGGCGACGAGCCGTGCGGCCGACGTCGCCAGCTGACCCCCGCTGCCTCCGCCCCCTCGTAAATTAAAGACGAAGGTCTCAACAATCGTCAAATGTCTTCTTTCTGTTAATTTTTCAAATTAAAGACTCTTTTGGACTTAAAACCGGGGACCAACCTCGGTTCTATAGTAATTTAGCTTGTAAGTAAACTAGCCTGGTTACCATTTTTGGGATTTTTTATGTCATATTTCGGCCAGCGATGAGACGTATTACTTAGTGGTAAATCAGCGCTGCCCATGAAACAATGAATTTATTTTTGCAAATATGTCATAAACCACTTTACACGTCAAATTATATTTAAAAAACAAAATGAAGCCGGCATTTCCTATCTGAAAAGAAATGAGAGGTTACCTAAGCTCAAAAAAAGCACAAACTCAGAGAGCCATCGACACTCCTAATACCAAAGGAGTTAATACAGGTGCGTTGCCGGCTTCTTGTGGTTTATAGAGAGAAAAACGGGTATGTGAGATTGAGGATGTGGAAGGATTGGACCTTCAGTATCCCCACTCACACGGCAAAACACAACGTGAATGTTGCTTCACGCCGGTTTTCTGAGGGCCGTGGTATCACTCTTGTCAAGCCGACCCATTTGCTGAAGCTTGGCTCTCCCACACTTAAATGAATGTTGAACAGTTGTAACGTAACAATTATTATTATTAACTGTGACACAGACAGCGTCGCCTGCTAGGAGTGTGTGAGGACGGGTCGATGGTGAACGCTCAGCTGGTGGACGCGCTGGTGGGTATGGGGTACCCGAGGAGTATCGCCGTCACTGCGCTGCGCAACTCCAACAACCACGTCGCTGAAGCCGTCAGGCTCATACAGGAACAACCTGAATTGGTAACGTATTTTCATGATTTTTTTTTTATAACCTATTTGGTAAATTCCCATTGTAGTCGAAATTTTTCGAAGTTTCATTTATTTATTTATTACGAAAAGGTGGCTTACAGCTTATGTATACAAAATAGTTGGAAATATTCGTTATAGGTAGTATGTCTTAAAGAAGAAAGAAAGAAAGAAAATGCATTTATTCGGCATCAGACATGAAAGCCAGAACAAAACAAAAATACAACACAAAATAAACAATAAAAAGGTTAATAAGACAGAAAAACAAAAATACACTAAATATACATACAGTTCTACAGGGTTGGCAGACATGCCTAATCCGCATGTCACCAACTCAGCAAAAGCTGGGTTATACGCTTACTGGCTAATGTATAACATCGAGCTAACTAACATTCTTAAAATTATGCGTTTGTACAGACAAAATATATAATTTCATGTTAACAACATATAATTAGGCGGGTATTGACAAACAAACGAAAAAAAAGAAATAATTAAATATCTTTTCACCAAGCTTTCCAAAGTAATTTAATAGTTACTTTTCTTCGATTTGTTTCGTACCTAATAATGTTCTTGTTTTATATCATCTTTGAACATATGTTTGAAACTAACTCTAAGTCTGATATTAATACTGTAGCTGGAAAGCGACAGATCCTCGGACGACGCTTCCACCATCAGCTCGGACGACTCCAACATCGTGCCGGACAACAAGCTGGTCGCTGAGGTAAGTTCATGTACTTACTGGAACCGTCCACCATTGGAAAACCTTTAATATGGATGAATACGGTAGTTTCCAACTAGTCAAATTCAATACTTTTATCCATAATGTCAAAAACGATACTTTTCTATGAAATTTGTATGAAAAACTGAGTTATGACGTCATAGTATTTTTGCGTCAAATAGCTTACTTATCTACGCTGTTCCTGAGTGCTATAAAACATCACGCTACGATTAAACCGAGCCGTGCAGCAAGTAAAACCGCGCGAGAGTAGCTAGTTTCTTAATAATTAGCTGAAAAATATCTAAAACTTAGTGTATTTAAAATCACCCCGTTCATTCTGTTACCCTGGGGCGAGGCCACGGTACATTATTTCATGGGTTTTCGCCGCAGATCGTAATTGATTGTTCATAAAAGACACTAAGATAATTCTCTTTAATACCTACTTAAAAATGATGGTCAGTAATAGGAGAATGATGATGATGATGATGATGTGTGTGGTGTATCAGTTGGAGGCGATGGGGTACGAGAGGGAGGCGGCCCGCGCGGCCCTCCGCCACTCGAGGAACCACATCAGCGGCGCCGTCGACCGCCTCCTCGCCGGCACCGGCCCCGCGCTGCACAGTCAGTACTAAGCTGCTTACCTACTACCTCATTACTGCATTCATGTTCTTCTTGCCTTACTTGCATTTACTTTTATTTCTTTCTTCTATTCATCACAGAGACTCGCTTTCTCTTTCATCTCATTCCTTCTATTCTTTACACAATAAGCAGATAGTATTTACATTATTGGGCTTAGTTTATTGTCACGCAGGCACGTATACACTTACGTACTCACTCACTCACTCCCTAAGGCACGCACTCACGCACGCAAACACTCCCTCACTCCCTCATTCACGCACATTTAACACTCACTCATTCGTCCCTAAGGCAAGCACTCACGCATGCACTCACTCCCTCACTTACTAACTAACGCACTCACTCAACCACTCATTCACTCACTCACTCACTCACTCAAACTCTCTCTCTCACTCACTCACTCACCCACTCTCTCACTCACTCACACACGCAAGCGTTCCGAATGGCACAAATTAACAGATAAACAATTATTTGTTTCATGCCAGAACGTCCAAGAAATCGTAAGTATAGAAAATCACAGGTCACATTAGGTTGCGCCGTAATTCTAGACACCCTTGTATAGTAACAACTTTCCTTTTTATTCGAAGAAGGTGACGACCCTGAGGACCCTTCCACCAGCTCAGGAGTTGTCTCCAAGAAGAAGAAAACTAAGAAAGCACACAAGAAAGATAAAAGGTTAATATAACAGCTATTTATAAAAGATTTGTTGCTTTATTCCAGCCTAATAACAAAAACTCAATTCCAGCATAGTTATAATAAACTTTTAAAAACAACTTTTTATGGTATAAGTTGGCAAACGAGCAGACGGCTTACCTAATGCTAAGCAATCGGCGTCGGCCATGTAAACCCGCAACACTAATGGAGTTAGGAGTGTGTTGCCGGCCTTTTAGGAAGAGAAGGGTTTCGGATTGGGCAGGGATGGACACGGCGAAACACAGCGCTGAGGTTGTTTCACGTCGGTGTTCTGTAAGGCTGTGGTATAACTCCAGTCGAGCCGACCCATTCGTGCCTAAGCTTGGCTTTCATATATATTCCAGGAGGAAAGAGCGGGATCAAGCTCTACGCCGGCTGACCGCAGCTATAAAGACTGAAGAGGATGACTACCTGGACACCTCCCTCACTGAAGAGGAGGAATTCCTCGCGCAGTACAAGTCACTCCTGTAGACTGATACTCTATGGTAACTAACATCTTTTACAAAAATAAGATCTCGTATTTTTAAACTATAATTATACAGACAAATAATAATTATGACTTATATTTGTATATTTTTCGAGAAGGGCTGACTAATTTCAAGCCACTTCGGGGCTCTTGTCTTAGTCAGCTGTCTAGTTTCGAGCTCGAAACTAGTCTTTGTGACTTAATATTAGTGTTTATATCTAAAAAACTATTTTATTTGACTTGTTAGGATTTTTGGCAAATTTTACGTGTTTTGAAATATTTTAAGTTTATTGAATTGTGTAAATTCATTCTAGAATAAGTTTTTTCAATGAATTTAACGACAAAAAACCATGAATTGTTATTTACAGTTACATCAAATATGTATATTATATCTTATTTAATTAAGGTTCATAATGGGGATTTGTACCATTATTTTATCACGCTAGGTGGCGCCTCGTCCGCGCCCGTCCTAATTCAATAAATTGTCAGTTCTGTTAATTCAAATTTTCTCTTAAAATTACTCTAACCACTTCTACTTCTCTCTTTAAAATGTTAAATTCTATTATCTTTCAAGTACCACACATGATCGCGATAACAATGGATTTTTTTTGTGACATTTCGCATATTTCAAAATATATTCCACAACCGTTAGAGTAGTTTATTGGGTATTTTTCCTATTGGCAATCAGGTTATCAGGATGTCTTAAATTCTATAGCAATCCTCGATATATGGACTGTCCAATAGAATAATTATAGTATTTGTATTAATGAAGATCATCATCACCATCAGCCTATAAGTATATTAAGCCATATTATGCGTTGCTTTCGTCCGTGCGTCACTGCAGGGGTGCCAACTGAAAATCAGTGTTGGGTGCTCAGTGTGCCCAGCTTTTTGCTGAGTTGGCGACCCATTCGGTTTAGACATGTCTGCCAACCCTGTATTTTTATTGTTTTTTGTGTTGTATTTTTGTTTTGTTCTGGCTTTCATGTCTGATGCCGAATAAATGCATTTTCTTTCTTCTTTTCTTTCTCTTTCTTTCTTTCTTCCATAAGTGCTCACTGCTGAGCAAAGGCCTCTTCTCAAACGGAGAAGGTTTGAGCATTAATCACCACGCTTGCTCAAGGCAGATTGGCGATTTCGAACTTATAATTAGTTATTATAAGTCCAGGTTTCCAACCCACACTCTCATCCATAAGAAGCACCGGGCCACCACGTTCCTGAAGTTCATTACTTTATAGTGATTAACTGTAAAAACTATGCAGTTACTATATATTTTATTATTGATGACATAATTATATTTAATTAATTCGGTCGAGTTTTTTACTCGAGGTAGTGTCTTATATATTTAGTATACGCCTTATATATATGCCTATACCTTTTATATATGTAGGATATGTCATTATGATAAATTTTTAGACTTTAGAAGTCTTACAATACTATTAAGTTAGCCTTTATCGTTTTTCTCGCGACTCCGTCCGCGTGGTTTTGAATCCTAATTTCGTAAGAGATAAAAATTATATGCATCTTATACTTTTCCCTAATCATTTAGCTATCTGTACACGAAATACTGTCTTACAGTTTTTACCAATAATATATAAAATTACTATACATCTGTCTGTGCGTTATGACCGCCCATTGTACACTCTTCGTCTTTTTTCTATTTATATGCTTTATCATATCTCAGTCTTACAAACGTCTGAATTTTAATATCCTTAATATTTGTAAAGCCCACATGTTAACATATTACTGATCCACTAATAATCTTATCCTGACTCAAAGAATGTAAGCCCCATTCAATGTTAATACATAAAAATATTAATAAATCTGTGTGTTTACTAAAAATTAACCACGTACTTATACCAAATTTACAAATCTCTGTGTCTATATTACAGTAGTACAGTTAGTTATATTCATAATAATAATAATTAATTGTGAAACATAATCAATTTATAATAATACATAATCGTTATGTGTATAAGGGTCTACTTTAATAGCGGAAAACTGTGTAATGATCCAATTAATTGTTAGAACGTAAAATTTGACAATTTTTCTGTGACACCGCCACGGCTTTAAAACTTGTGTTATTACCGATTTTACCCCTCTACATCCATTAGAACCTTGTCCTAGTTATAACAAACATGTAAAAATGATTATCGGGGTCAGTCTTACCGTTCGCAAGTGATGCCATTACGAATTGAAATTGGGATTCATTTTCATGTTTAAATAAATACAGTATAACTACTTGAAATAAATAGAGATTTTCTCGATTACTTCAGGTGTATAAATCTTAATCACTACATAGTATAAAACAAATTAGCTTTCTCTGTCCCTATATCCCTATGTATGCTCAAATCTTTGAAACTACGCAACAGATCTCGATGCGGTTTGTTCTGGCTTATAGAATGATTGAAGAAAAAGGTTTATATGTATAATAACATCTATTAAATAGTAAAGTAAATTAGTATCGGCATTGCAGTCATGCGAAGCCGGGGCGGGTCGCTAGTAAGGTGTTTTCCACTATTAAAGTATTAATAGAGCTAAGAAAATTATTTCGTACCTTTTCTTATGACTGGTAGTGCCATTATACCCCTTTAAATAATTTAAGATTAGTTTTAAAATTATACCTAGTGATACTTATATATTATATTTACGTCCTGTAATTGTTATAATTTCAACAAAACAAATTATTTTTCTATCCATGTTTGTCCTAATTCTATGTATACTTAAGTAATATAAGTTGATGTAATTAAAGAAATAAATAAAATATGTATACAGAATGGCAAGTTTTTTATTTTAAGTTTGTTACAAATTAGAGAGTCTATAATTATTTGTATATAGTCTTTATGGTTTCATTTGTGGTGGTTTCAACACTGTTTTTTTTTAATGTATTTCAAAAGGTACAGTAAAATATAGTGATAGGCTACAGACTAAGACAATCAGCTTAATTTAGACAATATACAGTACATAAATCTGAAATCCAATTATTTCTGTACACACCATTCAATGATTAATATGCTTCATTCGACAGTAAATGGGTTACACAGAAGGTAAAAAGGTTATTTTTGCTTTCGGTACGCAATGGACAGATTATAATGAGAACGAATGAAACTCAGTGAGTTAATGTAGATTAACTCACTGAGTTTCATTCATGGATGGTGTTAAAATGGTAATGGGATAGTCATGCGATAATGTCTGATAAGGAATATTGGAAGAAGTCATATTGTGGCGATAACTTGATCTAACGGAAGGGTAGCTTTTAGAGGGAGTTTTTTTTAGGTTATAGGTCGGCAAACGAGCAGACATATAACCTGATGGTGAGCAATCAGCGCCGCCCATGGACACCCGCAACGGTGGAGTTACGAGTGCGTTGCCGACCTTTTAGGGATTAGGGATTTGGAGATTTAGAGATTGAGGAGAGATTGGGGGAGGGGAAGGATTGTGCCTCCGGTAACCTCACTCACACGGCGAAACACAACGCTGTGGTTGTTTCACGCTGGTTTTCTGTGAGGCCGTGGTATCACTCCGGTCGAGCCGAACCACTCGTGCCGAAGCATGGCTCTCCCACACTTACTGACTAAAAACCTTCCACTTTTATTGTAGGTTTTAGTTGAAAGATTTATTAATTTAATTATGTATGCGCCTATTACGTTATCTTTAACCTTACGGACATTTAAATAAAGTTTAAAATAAAATTGAACAATTTTTTTTTTGTACTTTGAAAGTTGAATATTTGTCAACAATTCTTAATTATATGTATTCTTAACATATCTAGCTAGCTTTGATATACATACTATCTATACAAAAATCGACTTAAAAACTTAAAAAATAATGTAGAAAACAGAATGAAACATTTATATACATACATATTCCTTTAAAATTATTGGTTGACAATAAACTCTATAAACATAACGTCATTCTTAACATACTCGAACTTGTCTAGACTAGTGTGTGGTATGAAGATGTACTGCCTCTTCAGCTGGGTGACTGACTTGTCCAGGGTTTCCGAAGACTTGGTCTTCTCCTCATCACCACCACCATCATCGTAATCATGGCGCTTGGACGACGACTTGCGCTTCAGTTGCAGTGATTTCACTATGTCCATAGCCTAAAAAAAATGTCATATTTGAAAAAATAATTAGCATTAAATGAGGAATGAACAATCACGTTTCCATGTTATAGCTATATAGCTTTCGTATATTTAGCAGCTTATTCACGAACGATGAACTTGACTAGTTTCAAGCCACGCCAGGGACCCATACTAGTTGATATTAGAAGAACATTGCGCCACGATCACCGTATCGTGTCTATGTACTCGAAAATAGTCATGTTCCTTAGCAAACAGTACCTAAGTTACATGAGCCATTAAATATAATGAATAATAAGTGTTAAATGTTTAATAAATTATTTTATGTGGAGGAGAGCCAAGAGTCGGCACAATTGGGTCGGCTCGACCGGAATGATACCACAGCCTCACAGAAAACCGGCTGAAACAATCAAAGCGTTGTGTTATGCCGTGTGAGTGAGGTTACCGGAGGCCCAATCCCTCCCCTTCTTCTATCCCTCCCAATCCTTACATATCCGTAACCCTTAACCCTAAAAGGCCGGCAACGCATTCGTAACTCCTTTGGTGTTGCGGGTGTCCATGGGCGGCGCCGATTGCTTACCATCAGGTAATCCGTTTGCTCGTTTGCCGACTTCTACCTAAAAAATACTTAATAGAATCGTCCACGTTTTAAGCCTTTGATACTGTTCAGGATTATGGTCACGCCAGGAGACAACATTTTTAATAAGTGCATTCGTCACTTAAAATACTTAAATTGTTTCAGTGATTAAAATTTACGAATAAACAATTTTGTGTGTAATTGAAACAATTAGATAGGTGACTGATATTATCTACTTAGGTTAGCTTTCAAAATACTTGTTATTAAAACCATTATCATGATATTCATCAGGCGAATGACTTCTGCTGTTATATAAATGTTCTTACGTAGTTTTGCCATAATCCCCACACTTGGCAAACTGATTGAGGATTATTATAAACACCACTAAAATTTGAAACTTTACCTGGGCTCTGTTGTTGGGCTGGTCTCGGAGTATGATGTTGATGTTCAGGTCGCAGGGCCACTCCAGCAGAGCGTCGTAGGGCCCAGCCACGAGCCGTACGGTCGACGTAATGTGCCGACCCTTCCATTTGCCTATGCCATTCAGGTTAATTTCCGCCTGAAATAAAATTTCATATAAACAGGTCCTTGTTTATAAGTCTGGGAGAGCAAAGCTTCGGCTTGACCGGAGTGATACCACGGCCTCACAGAAAACCGGCGTGAAACAACCACAGCGTTGTGTTTCACCGTGTGACTGGGGTAACCGGAGTCCCATGATACCGGAGGCTCGATCCTTTACCTGTCTTCAACTCCATTTATCCGATCATCAATTCCGTAACAACCCCACAATGGCGGCACCGATTGCTTACCATCAGGTCATTCTTTTCATACAGTTTACCCACCACAAAAAGATAATACTGCGTCAGTCCGTCTTAAAAAAATCTGGTGGTCGTTGCAAAATGTAGGTAGTATCGACTTGTAAATAATGTAAGGATCAGCAAAAAACTAAAAACTGGACAGCAGCGCTTTCTGGGAAACCTGATCCTTGAATACTGCGATCCGTGCGAAACCGCTTACCCAGGCTTAGAAATTACTATCTGGGGTCGCAGGTCAAGTTAAATATGGAACCGCGGCCTTGACCTAGAGCGGGAGAAAGAACGGGAGGGTGTTTAGTCAGTAAGAGTCACATTCCCTATCACCATATTCCGGGCAAAAGTCATATGATGATGACGATATAAGTATATTTCCCCCCTCAAAAAAAAAAAGGGTTAAAAATTACTGCAACCTTTCATATTATAATATAGTGAAGACCGACAGGCTTAGCATGGGTATAGACCTTTACCAAGAGTTGGGGTGGCAAGTAAGTGCTATTACCTTCAGCGTGTATCCATATTTGCTGGTTCTAAACAGAGGGCTGCTCAGCACCGTGTCATTCTCTTTGGCATCCTTCATTCGAGACAGGAACTTATCTATCCTCCATATGAAACGACCTGGAACATTAAAAAAAATAAGTAATTATAGTAGTATTTTATTAGATGACTCGTATAGTAAGTATTTTTTGACCCATTATATCAATTTTATGTGTGCATTTCTCACAAATATTGTGTTTTTCGAAATACATTTTGATTGTGAGAGAGCAATGCGAGCACGCATGGGTCGGCTCGGCCGAAATGACACCATGGCCTCACAGAATACCGGCGTAAAACAATCACAGTGTTGTATTTCGCCGTTTGAGTGAGTTTACCGGAGGCCCAATTCGTTTTTCCTACCCCCAATACCTAAATCTCTGAAATCGTAACCCCAAAAAGGCCAGAAACGCACTCCTAACTCCTCTGGGCGACTCCGTACATGAGCGACACCGAATGCTTATATCAGGTAGGTAATCCGTATGCTCGTTTGACGTCCTATCACATACAAAATAATAATAAGTGCCTAACTGCGATACTAGACTTTTTACCTTCTAAAAATATTAACTTAAGGGGAAGTAACAATACTTCAGTACATATTAGTAAGCATAAAAAAGTCGCTTTCTCTGTCCCTTCCTATATCCCTATGTGTGCTTCAATATTTAAAACTACTCATCGGATTTTGATGAGTTTTAGACCGAAGTTAAAAGTAAACATTATTTTTACGAACGAATTAAGTCTTTTTAAGAATTAAAGAAACGGTGTCATGATGTTTGACTTAACTACTTGTTTACAAAAAGGGTTCAATCATGACTACTGTCACTCGATCGTACTCAAACGAGGAAGGTTAAACGCTGTATACTCCTTTTCGCATTACTAGGTAAGTATTTATTTTTGCATAAAACGTATGATATTTATTTCTGTAACATCCTGCTCAAAAGAATTCGCCTTAAAAGGCAATAAGTTTATTTCTAGAACAATGTGGTGAAATAAACAATCAACAGTGTATATTTAAATAACAACAATTACCTGTATTAACATTGATTCTGCTCATTGATGGAAAGCCCGTCAAAATGGATTTAGCAATTTTGGATTTTATCACGATCAGACACACAATAATGATGATGCGCGGTGGAATATTCTTTTTAAATGATATTCAAAGCTAAGGAGGATTTAATTTTAGATGATATAGAAAGGTCAGACTTACCATCCTCAGATCCAAGCTCATTTCTGTCGAAGGTGACCTTGGATTGGAAGTCAGCAAGCTCATTCCTCATTTTGTGGTAGGACTTGGTGAGGGCCCGAAGGTCTCGCAGTACCGCGTCTACCTTAGTGGAATGTTCTGACAACTCCGCTCTAGCGTCTGCTGTCGCCACTTCTAGAACTGCCACGCGATCTATTCCCTGCATCATGATGATGATGATGAAGAAGAAGAATTTGGTTAATATAGGTAAGTACACATTTAAGTGTGTCAGTTTTGTTTAGTTTTTTAGTGTAGACTATAGAATAATCAGAGTCAAAGTCAAAGTCAAAATACAAAGTCAAAATCAAAATCATTTATTTACAGGTACTTGTGGACGTCAAACAAAGTTTAAAAGAAAAAATAGTGTCAGTCTGTCGGTCAGTCCTTTGGTGAAGCTATAATACCTGACTGGCTGGGATAGGTCATTAGAAATTCATAATTATACGTATGTATTATTATCTTTGTAATGTAAAAAATAAAAAAATGGCCGTCTAATCAAATCAAATCAAATTCTCTATTTCAAGTAGACCACAACAGGCACTTTTGAACGTCAAGCAAAAAAGATATCATAAGGTTTAACTTTATATGTGTCAGTCTGTCCGTCTGTTCTCTAGTGAAGCTATTTGCTCGTTCCAAAGTATAGATTCCTATGGAGAAGAACGAGCAAGAAACTCCATGGTTACTCTTTTTCAATGACTTTTTACAATGCATTGTTACATAATTTAGATAGTTCCATTATGTGAGAAGTTAGGTTTGTATTTACTTCCTGCATTAGGTATAGCACTAGCTACTTCCCAGCTGCTACCTGTCCTTGTTGAAATTCTATGTTACTGCACCACATCTTCATGTACCTAAAAGTACTTACCGGCCTCTCATCAGACGTGGCCTGTAGCTGCATCCTCAACGCCGACAGGTTGGCGAGCTGCTCCGAGGACCTTCTCGCTTCCATTAGCTCTGCTTCCAACGCCGCGCGGTTCTCCGCGTTCCTCTCTCGCTCCTCCTCCACTGTTTGCCTGATGTAGTTTATAACTTCCTCTGGAAAAGGAATCATCTTTCTTAATGTTTGTCGTTTGTAGCTCGTTTTCCTAAAGGTAATATTTTTTAAAAAGAAATATTTTTTGTGATATTTGCAGCTTCCATATTAGGCTGTCATTTCAAGTTCGAGTCTGTTTTAAGATTCTTTTTAAAATCTGTTAATTTGGTGTATCATTAATGGAATCAGATTGTAGGTCATTAAAATGGAATAGAATAGAATAGAATAGAATATATTTATTTGTAAATTGCAATTTATTTATTTTGTATGTAACAAAGAAATGAATTGTGAAATTGATTGAAAAAGAGTATCTAACCACGAAGATTCTTGCTCGTTCTTCTCCATAGGAATCTAGACTTTGGAATGAGCAAATAGCTTCACTAGAAGACAGACCGACACACTGAAACACACGCATTTGAATATATTTTTTTGATACAGTGGTCTATTTGAAATAGGTGATATTTGACTTTTGACTTTTATCAGCTAAGTTGTTAGTCAGTTTTCCTACCTCTTTATACTATGTATTTACCCTTTTTTTGTCGGGGGAAAATACTGACTAAAAGCCCCCCTTCTCCTGCTTTAGGCCGAGGCCGCGATGCCACATATTATGTATTTGTCTTCACACCTCAACATACCGAGTTTGTTGACTGCCCTAATCCTATTGTCATGTTGTGTGAGCGCCTGCTCCAGCAGCTCCCGTTCATGCTGCTCGTGTACCAAGGAGCTCACTGCACTCTCCAGCCTCATCACTGTGGTCAGCTGCTGGCTTTGCAGTTCCTGGTAGAAAAGAGTTACAGCCAAGATTACTAACTGATCTTTTTTATGGAATGGGAGGCAAACTAGAAGACGAATCACGCACAAGACCGGAGGAGCCACAGGCGCGTTGCCAAATTTTAAAGTTACCTGACAAAAATTCTGTAGAAAAAAGTAATCAAGATCTATGACACAGTATCTAATCATTCTAAAACATTAATTGTTGGATCTCCAATCCTTAAATCTCCAAAACCCTAATCTCTAAAAGGTCGGCAACGCACTCGTAAGTCCGTTGCGAGTGTCCATGGGCGGCGCTGATTGCTTACCATCAGGTAATCCGCCTGCTCGTTTGCCGACTTATTACATAAAAAAAATTTAGATCGATTTTACATTACTAGGTTAGGTGTTATTTCATAATTTATAAACTATTTCTATGTCAAATTAAATTAAGATCCATTGAGTAGTTTTTACTTGAAAGAGTAACAAACATGATGAAACATATAATCAAACTTCTCGTCAGAAAATATAGAAGGATTTGTTTTATTTCGAGTAGAATTATTTCATTTTACACTATACCACATATTTTGTAGGTATGGGTAGAAAAGATGAAGTAATTAATTGTTGAATGGATTTTATGGTTTGTACCATACCATGGATTCCACTAAATACAAATTCTGAGAAGCTACAATTAATAATGATAAGAATGTTGACAAAAACCGCTTAGGTCTTATAACTTGTCACTTTAACGGCATGGCAACTATGTGATTATCTCCAGACAAAACGAAAAGGATTACAATTCGTCGAAATATAATTGATTTTATTTTTATTCTTGTGGCTATAAATCAAACTAAAAATTGTCCGTTGGGCTGTCAGATTCTCTGCGATTTCGATATTTTAAGTAAGTTCTTAGAAGACATAGTGTCGGAACAGATGGGTCGTTGTGGCCCGGATCTAAAGGCGCCTGCATTTCATGAATGAGGGTATGGCTTCGACACCTGGCAAGTACCAATGTGACTTTTTCCGAATTATATGTAGTTCCTATAATTATTTAGACACCACTTACATACGGTGAATGAAAACATCATGAAGAAACCTGGATTTGCAATTTCTAATAATAAGTTTTAAATCGCTAATCTGCCTTGAGCAAGTGTGGTAATTAATTTTCAAACCTTCTACTGGGAAGATGCCTTTGCTTCGCTGTGGGTACTTATAGGCTGATGATTACGTTCACAAAACGCTTCAAAATTAAAAAGCTTGGGCGAAATACCTGCAGTGCCAGTTGCACGTTGGCCAGGTCATGTTTGAACTGTGCGGCCCAGTTGGCAGACCTCTCAGCCTCATCATCTACTGCCGCCCTCAACGACACGAGGGTGGACAGAAAGTGTTGGCTTCGTTCCTCCACCAGAACCAGCTTGGAGCGAATGTTTTCTATCTCTGTCGCCTGCACATCTCTGTGTCCTGATTCTTCTGTTAGGACTAATCTGCAAAAACACGGTCACACATGTATTACACGACTAGTTGAGATTTTGCAAATATTTCTTTTAAAAAACCTATTTAATTGAACCAAAAAACTGCCTTAGAATTCTTTAGCAAATATTGTTAAATAATGTCGTAATAGATTCTTCCTGCAATTTTTGGCATTTCCTGATAAGTCAAAGATGTGAATTAACGTGTGCGATTCTTAATTTTAAGGTGCTTTCACCCGGAGTTGCGGGGCAAGTGCAATGAGGCACCGCGGCCTCGGCCCAGAGCAGGAGAAGGAACGGGGGGAAAAATTCATTTGAGGATTTTCCCCTCACAAAAAAGGTGGTATATATAAAAATCTCACAATAAAAAAACTCTTACTTGATGGAAGCGACTTCCTTCTCCAGGTAGGAGACACAGTCATCGATGGGCACCTGTCGTGGGGACCAGGTGTGGTTGGAGACTGGTGGTGGTGGTGCCGGCGCTGGCACGCTCACGTGACTTGATGATGTGCGCGTCTGGAGTCAGAATGTGGTAGATTACCAGGAATTTCAACATCGGAGGCCCAATCCTTCCCCTCCCCCAATGCCTCCTAAATCCCTAAATATCCAAATCCCTAATCCCTAAAAGGTAGGCAACGCACTCGTAACTCCTCCGTTGCGAGTGTCAATGGGCGGCGCTGATTGCTTACCATCAGGTAATCCGTCTGCTCGTTTAAAACCGTTTAATAAAAAATAGGGTAGCATTTTGATGCTGAATTACAACAGCTTAAATTTATTTCCCCATATAAATCGCAACAGCTGATTGGTCATTTTGCTTGAAAAAGTTGTTTTTTGAGATTTCCAAATTGGTCTTTTGGAAAGGGTCGTTTTATTTGAGAACCAGAATTGGGATCCTTGATTAAGTGCCTCGTACAAAATACCATCCTGTAAGTATTAATTTGAACTGCTATTTCACATTATAATTTTATTATAAAGCAATCATGTTGCATTGTTATTTATTTATTTATTTATTTATTTAAAAAAGGTACACCAACAGCTTCTATATATAGCAAATTAAATAAAACAATGAAACATTAGGTTTTGGCCTTATACAGTCGCCAATTACAGGTAACCAGCATTCTTAAAAATAAAGTGATAACCTAGTAGAGTAACAACGAAACTATCTATTACAATAACATAATTAGAATTATATTAAAAATATTATAACAACATTAGAATTGTAATATAATTATTATCAAGCAATATGTGTTTGTTGAAAATCTATTACGGCCTTATTACTAAACAAGGTTTTTCTTTGGTCTAGGTGTAAACCATTGAACCAGTTTTTGTATTTCAATTATTTAATCCTAGACTAAAGATACCTTAATCTTGTTTTGTAATAAGAGGGCATAAAGTTTGGAACTTGAGTGTAACTGTTTATCAATACGGTAGTTTCCAACTAGTCAAATTCAATACTTTTATCCAAATGTCAAAAGCGATACTTTTCTATGAATTTTGTATAAAAAACTGAGTTATGACGTCATAGTATTTTTGCGTCGAATAGCTCACTTATTTCTTAATAATCAGCTACAAAATATGTAAAACTTAGTGTATCGATCGATCGATCGATGAATAAAAGTAGTTATTTTTCAATATTTTATTGTATTGAAACTTCGAAATAATTTATTTTTGACCTAGGAAACTACCCAATTCACCTATTATGCGATAATCAATATATAGTATACATAGTTTGGAATTAGAGCCTACTCCCACCTTCTCCATCTTGGGGCAGTCCTTGACATGCGTCTCCTTGTGCTTTCTTTGTATCCAGGCCCCGCAGCGCAGCGGGCACTGCTCCAGTATACTGCCACATATTTTCAAGTGGTTCTGAAACATTACAATTATAATACTTAAAGCGGCAAACCAGCAGACGGATTACTTAATTTTTTTTTTTTTTTTTATTAAAAACATTGAACATGTTTACAATTACAGATGGCTCAGATTTTATAGTAATAAAAAGTCTTAATAATAACAATCGTAATAGTTAACTTAATCTAGTCTAATACAATACATATGTGAGGAAATAACGTTCTTAGACTAAATATTAGGGACTACCCGAACTAGGTTTATTTAAACCTGTGTTTCAGGCTATCAATGCAAAAAAAATAATTCAATGGATATAATAATAAATAATTATCGTATTTCATAATGTAAGACTAAGCAAGGACAACCTGCTTTGTTCTTACTCCGTGACCTGGCCTAAATTATTAAACAAAAATAACATCATACTAGTTAATATGTAAGTAATTTACTAAAAATAAGTACTTTATTTTAATACTTCTAGCAATTTTTCCGTATCTGAGTAATTGAGGGACTGTAAATATTCTGTTAGCATTAGTTTACACTTATTTAAACTTACACTATACATTTTTAGCAGCCTATTGAGTTTGTTATATAAATAAGGTCCTAGAAATAAATAAAATCTGTTAGTAAAAGCATGTTTCGTCTGAGGGTTAGTGCAAACTAAATCCTTTCTTTTGCCGGAAAGTACCGGGCTAAAACCAATTTCAGTATGCTGCAGTAGTACTATGTTAAGGATGAATAACTGGCGTACTGTCAGTAGTTTGCATTCCCTGTATAGCTGGTGAGTAGGAAATCTGAAAGGACGAAAGGTGGCGACCTTCAGGATCGCTCTTTGAGCACGTTCTAGGGGCAAGAGAATAGTTTTTGGAGCACCACCCCATTGCATGCATTAATGGTAGGCAATGCAATGAACGCCCACCATGGCCAATCGTAATATTGAAGGAGTTACTACAAGTGCGTTGCCGGCCTTTTGTGTGTTATAAGGGATTTAAGGATAACGCAGTTGAGGATTGAGGACGGGACAGGGGAAGGATTGGTCCTCCGGTAACCTCACTTATACGGCGAAACACAACGTGAGTGTTGCTTCACGTCGGTTTTCTGTGTGACCGTGGTACGGTACAAAACCAATCCAACCGTTCCATTCGTGCCGAAGCATGGCTCGTCAAAAATAACGTTTAAGATGACTGCAGTGTTGGCGCGGTCTCTGGGCAATTGGCTGACGCACAACGTGTCGCGGGTTCCATCCCGCACGGTTGTTCCATGCGGTCCACGATTTGTTGTTTCGAGTCTGGGTGTGATGTGTATGTAAAATTTTGTCACGCATGTAGTGTATACCGCCGTTTTTTTAAATATATATATATTTATAGTTATATTTACATACATAATATTAACTTAAATATATATAATAACGTTGTAAATAATACCAATACATAGCCGCTCCTCGTTTACATCATTGACAAGTTTAATCATTTGCCATTGGGCAGAAATAAGATAAGAAGCTACATATATGTATATACTATATACTACGAATGATCTTATCTATGATATGTATGTATAACAATAATATGGCTCAATACTAAAATACTCAGTCCAAACTAATATCGCTGGTTCTATCTGTCTGTCTGTCTTTCTGTCTTATCTTCACGCCTATATTACTGAACAGGCAGGCAAAGGGCATAGCATAGTTTTAAAAACCAAAAATCTGCAGGAAGTCACTATTCCACGCGAATAAAGTCGCGGGCATAAGCTAGTATAAAATATATGAAACCTCGGAGCGGGTTGAAATAATTAAGTAAATGTGAACGTCGGCATGTCTTCTAACCTAAAAAAAATATTAGAATTGTATCATCGATGATAGGTAATAAACTAAATTTAAATAAACTTTGTATATATTCTATACGACTTCCTCAATTCATCAAATCGCAAGCGAACGCCGGCGTTCATGCACCTATTTTCTTACTACTGTGCCTGTAAATACCACGATGGACAGGTTAATATAAAAAGACGTATCAATATTGTTTAACTTTAGTTAATTACTAGAATAAATGGACCATAGTATGTTACACATCTTATTTTTATTCTGTCACATAAACAGTTATAAATTATTACATAGAACCTACCACACATCTCTGAACTACCAAAAGGATGACTGGCAGAAAATGCTTCTAGCATTAAGTCCTCCGATATGTGTCTATATAAAGAATAAATATGTAATATGAATAAAGAGTATTAACATAACATAATTTCTTTACAACGAATATTTAGGTATCTGATCTGATCATCGGATATTTTGTTTCTTCAAATATCTACCCAAACACAGACACTCTGCCACCCAGGCGTCGAGTTGCGAGCTTAGGCAGCATGCAAATTCCCTAACTAAAAATCGATCTGAAATTTATTTATATCAGCAATAATCAGCATTATATATTTTTTTAAATAGGAGAGTGAAATATTTTAAAATAGACGCTTATACAATTTTTTTGAGTGCACTATTGACAGATTGTTATTCTTATATGACGCTTCAAAAATTTAGACTGCTTGGTTGGGAAACATTTTCAAAATATCGTCGGTATAGAAAATATTTGGGTCCAAGAAATATTGTCGGCATTATACCTACACTACACTAAATAAAAATTAATTTTTACTTAGGAGAAAATGTTTAAATAGGTTTCCTTCAAGATGAAGTGGTGTGGTCGACAAAAAGCTTCCTTATTATTAATTACAATTAATTAGGACGATGTATGTTTGTCCATTAGTTTATTTTAGTTTTTTTTTAAACATTGCTCTTTAGGTACTTGGATTTTCTTCGGTGTCGTGGGCGACTTTACATACGACATGAACAACATCAAGTCTGTTCTCAATTATAATTTTATGTAAAACTAATAGACGTTAACTAACTTTCACTAAATAAAAATTTGTTTTCATTTTTACATAGGAGAAAATGCTTATAGGGTATAAAATAAAAGTATAGAATAAGGCCTTACTTTGCGGAAATCCATGACATTAAATGTTATGAAAAGTCTATTTTTAGTGTTTTTTTTAAACATTGCTCTTTACTTGGATTTTCTTCTGTGTCAAAAGTAAGTTTACAATCGACGTGAGCAACATCAAGAAGGTTATTCGGAATTGCATAAATCTGGATTTGAGTATTGGGAATGAGAGTTCGGGATACAAATGGTAATGGGAACATCATCAAACAACCTTTTTCCTTGAATAACAAACGAGTCGCCAATTCAATGTTCTCGTCTATACGGACAGAGTCAAGTAGTGACGGCAGATTATGGGCCCGACGAACTTTAACTTTGTAGTAGTTTGTTATTAGTAGCTGAAAGGACAACACCTTACAGTTAGTCAAACTATAACTAGTTATCCTATAAAATAACTTCACTCGCGCAGTGTCAGACGTTTACTTGGGGGTTGACGATTGGGTCTCAGTTTACCTTACTTGCATGGCAAAATGGCAAAAAAGGCCAAAGTTCCCTGACTTTTTTCTGTGAGGACTTAGTATCCAGTCAGAACATTCATGCCCTTGAGCCGAAGGACGTTTCCAAGTATTCATCAAGTTAATAGGTACCTGCAACTGTCCCAATTCGAAGAGTTCGTTGCAGAAGTAACAGGGGCAGTCTTTGGCGGTCTTCTCCGCCGTCCCGCCTGTCTTCTGACCCAGCCTGGTAAGACTCATCTTGGAGTAAAGCTGCCCTCTGGTCTGATGCTATGATGAGTGTGGCTGCCTCATGGTTCTGAAATTTTTAAATTCATATGTAAGTATCTCCAAAAGTTTGTTGCACATTCTAAATTCGTATGGTAAATTTTTTATCGGGAAAAGCCCGCCACAACCTCCCAAAATCGCTGCAACTTTTGTAAGCCAAGATCTACAGTAGATACAACTGAAATAATGAAGTCCAGCGCGTCCCAGTCACACAAATGACGTTCGTATAGATGTGCATAACATGGAGTCTTACAAAATAACGATAAACACAATGTGCCTTCTTTGCTATTCGATAGGTACTCAAGGTTCAATATTCCTGTGGTACAAGCCCAAGAAAGTTAGGGCCCTGGCCAGGAGCAGGAGAAGTAACGGGTTGGTTTTAAGTTAGCAAGCGTATGACAAAGTGTGGGAGAGCCATGCTTCGGCACGTATGGCCGATTCGACCGGAGTGATACCACGGCTTCACAGAAAACCGGCGTGAAACAACCACAGCGTTGTATTTCGCCGTGTGAGTGAGGTTACCGGAGGCCCAATCCTTGCCCTCCCCGAATCCCAAAATCTCCAAATCCCTATGCCCAAAAGGTCGGCAATGCACTCGTAACTCCGTCTGCTCGTTTGCCGACCTAAGATAATATATTACATAAGAAAAACCCCTTGGCCCGCATCCGGGGCAGCGATTGTTGTGGGAGTGTCTTTCACAACATCTTATAAATTTTTTCCTGAGCCGAGCATCAATCAATGAAACATTCTACGTACGGGCTTGGTATTCATAAACCCTAATTCCTATCATCTACCTAACTGTTGCTTTTTTTAAACCAGGCTGCCAGTCAAAATTACAAAAAGAGCTGGTGACCTAAGCACTTCAGTGAAATCTTTGGTCTTGAGAAAACTGCAGTTGCATATTTTACACAATATTTACATTGTATATAAGTATGTATATAGTGACACATGTATGTGTTTGCCAAACTGATTAAGTTTATAGGTACATATAGCTAATGTATGTTTTAGTTATCAAGTCTAGTTCCAGATAACCAATCGTTGAGAGGTAATGTCACAATATAAAAATCAATATCTACTTATATACAAAACTATTTTAAAATAAAACATGTTTTCCTAAACCCGTAAGGGAAATATTATTTGGATTCGATATGATTTATGGAATAGTAAGTGATCAGCGCCGCCCATGGACACCCGCAACACCAAAGGAGTTACGAGTGCGTTGCCGGTCTTTGGGAAAAAGGGTTTCTCGGATATTTTAGGATTAGGAAGGGATGGGGAGAAGGGGAGGAATTGGGCCTCCGGGAACCTCACTCACACGGCGAAACACAACGCTGTGGTGGCGCCAAAATTGCTTACCATCAGGTAATTCGGCTCTCGTTTGCGGACCTATTTCATAAAAAATATGTAACAAGAAATATTATTGTTACAAAAACCTTAATCTCAATAGTAGGTATCTACTTATAAGCGAGTACACAGTTAACGCAATGGCTGGGCAATCGACTGCCGCGCAACGTGTTGCGGCTTCGATTCTCGCACTGAAAAACCCATTGTTTATGTACCTCTAGGCATTATTTTTCCAAGCATGTGTAAGTATTTGTTTACCCACGGAGAAATTGCGAGTGTGAGGCAACGCCTAAATAATTATAAACTGTGTTAAGTAGGTAGGTATATTGATGGTCAGATTGAAAATGTTGGTGTAATAAGGTCAAAATAGGTCTTCTAGTTTAGTGGTAATTCGTGTAGCATAGGTACGCGAATCGGCGTTCGCTTGGGGACATAAAAGTTCATATTATCTGGGTATAAACACGTACACGTCTGGCTATCTTTTAAAGAATATTAACATTTACAGTCATTTTATTGATCCGTTATACATTAAGTGATTTAAAATAGACCACTTCCTTTGTAAACACTAAGTACTTATGTATAATTATGTACATATAAACAAATATTAGGTACTTGGTAAGTATTCAAATCTGGGTTAACTTGTACCAAGTGCTGATTCATTCATTAGGCATTATATTAAGTATCTTCATAAGCCAGCACATTTTATAAGCTTACTAGGTAATCTAAAAGATTTTTAGTATCACTATACAAATAAATGTAACCGGTCAGTTCTAAACTGTCATTTGCCAGACGGATTACCTGATGGTAAGCAATCAGCGCCGCCCATGGACACCCGTTACACAAGAGACCAGGGTTAAGTACATGCAGTTTTGGAGATTGAGGAACTGAGGAGGGATGTGACAGGAAAAGGTTAACGCCTCCGGTAACCTCACTCACACGGCAAATATAACGCTGTGGTTGATTCACGCCAGTTTTCTGTGAGGCCGGGGTATGTCCTCACATAATGGAACCAACTTGATAATGTCACAGAGAATTGAACTATGGAACTGATAAAATATATATACATATTTCTGATTTTCTGTTTTTTAGCAATAAGTATGTATAGGTATATATATATAAACGACATTATATTTACTTGCAGTAGGTACCTAGATACCTACAGGCACTATTTGTAAGTCATCCATTTTATTCTTACTGCGTTGTTTTGCTGTCAAATAACTTGGTAATACAATCAAATTATACATTGGTAGGTATTTATTTTATTTTAATTTACATATTTACTTTAACATCTAAGCCTGACGATAAACCATATTCAGAGTCAAAATCAAACCTTTTATTTATTTTCAACTAGCAGCCCGTCCCTGCTTCGCACGGGTCCCTATGACCCTACTCCTCCCTCTACTTTTCTAAATTTTTCTTTCATAAGAACCTTTTCCTGACAATGGCACAAAAAGAATCAGTAGAATTGATCGAAGGCGTTATTGAGTTATGCGCTTACTAAAATATTTTATAATTTATTTTTATATTATAGAAGATAAGACCATCAGATGCCTTGTGGACGTCCAAAAAAAAATAATTAAATGCAAGAAGTTAAAAAGTGTCAGTCTGTCGGTCGGTTCTCTAGCGAAGCTATTTGCTCGTTTCATAGTGTAGTTTTTTTTTATGTGATATGTCGGCAAACGAGCTGATGGATTACCTGATGGTAAGCAATCAGCGCCGCCCATGGACACCCGCAACGGAGGAGTTACGAGTGCGTTGCCGACCTTTTAGGGATTAGGGATTTGGAGATTTAGGGATTGAGGAGGGATTGGGGGAGGGGAAGGATTGGGCCTCCGGTAACCTCACTCACACGGCGAAATACAACGCTGTGGTTGTTTCACGCCGTTTCTGTGATGCCGTGGTATCACTCCGGTCGAGCTGACCCATTCGTGCCGAAGCATGGCTCTCCCACACTTAAAAATACACTTATATACTTACATCTATGAATTAGTAAATATATTATTTCCACATCTTAAATTAACCACAAAATTCAATTGTTCCAACTCACCTTTATCCATAAAATAATCCAACAACTTTAAAACAATTCACTAAACACCACAGTTCCAATAAACACTTGTTACTAAAAAAAGAACCAATCACACAAAATCCACATTAGATAAAACAAATTCTCGTAAATTCTATTTTATCAATCACTTATATAAAAACCGCAACTTGAAATAATCATAAATAATAATAATATTAAAAATAGAGAGACAACGAAAATTGTTTTAGCATTAAAACAATTCTCGGAGCGAAAAGAATTTTCAATTTTGTTTTTATTATTATTTTATTAATAATGTTTTATTAAATTGTTTCACAGAAGAACGTGTTGTTTGATACATTCTCATTGTAGTGTGGATCTCTTTGTCAGTATCTAATGAATCATGGCTGTTATCGCTATCAGTGATACCTGATACGGGGCGTTGTTTGGCTGTGATAAAGTCATCGCAAATACTCTATGATCAAATAATTCCTTTTGTAGGTCAAGGTGGATCGATTCATGTCAATATTTTATTTATTAGTTTTTTTATTAATAAATATTTAGTGGTAAGTGCTTAGACTATTATGTATGAAGGACTTTTTTGAATTGGTATAATATCTTTTTTTCACGCTTCTAAAGATGTCGTCCTAGATTTGAAAGGGGAACTGCGAGTTTGAGCAAACATTACTTAATATTAAATATTTTAAAATGTAAATATGGAAATTATTCATTATATTTGTTGTTTGTTACGCTACTCGGTTGGCTGCAATTAAAAGCTAGTATCTGCAATAGCAGCCTATTGTAGAATACTTAGTCTTTGTTTTTATCAAAGTCTATAACTAATAAATAATAATATAACACGATGCAGCAAAACCACATACAAATAAAATAATACCTACAAATAAAGCAAGATGATTAAGGTTTGCCTAAAAATAAACCCACAACATATTTACAAAATATACATAAATAATATCTACCTACACAAGGTTATACAAAATAATAAAAAAGGACAAAATTTTAAAAAATAATTTGATAACAAAAGGTTTATAATACCTAATATTCAGCTACAATACTCATACATAATTACATATTTACTGACTCAGTCACTCAAAAAAGGTTACCATAATTGTTAGAGTTTTTAGAATTTGATGTTTTTTTTCAAAATTCATTCATAGATTCCATAGAAAAACTGAAGACAATAATAGAATACCAAGTGATTATTGTAGAGTAAAACAAGGTAAGGAGTTTCTCGTCCTAATAAACTCGTACTAAACGTAAAAAAACGTATTTCTCTGCTAACGAGCTTGCGGATTACCTGATGGTAAGCAATCAGCGCCGCCCATGGACATCCAACAGCCCTATAGGGCTAGGGCTGATGTTGAGCTGGGGTTGCGGGGTAAGCGCAATGAGGCATGAGAAGGACCGGGGGGTTTTTAGTCAGTAAGAGTCTATCACTCCTTTTCGCTTCACCCTGGGCTAAAGAAGTCATTTGATGATATTCCCCTCACAAGAAATCCACTTTTGAACTTCAAACATTTTAAGATAAAAATGTTAGTCTGTCTGGCAGTTCTTTTAGTGAAGCTATGATAAGTTGTTGCCTTCACCTTAATTCATAAGTTTACAAGTAAATACAGTGTCACGTGCTCTATGCAACTTAAGACAGACATTGGACCATCTCGATGTCTTGAGATGTATTCACTCCGGCCTTTGACCTTTCAACGGCGCTGTAGTTTTGTACTAAAGAAACAGGATATTTTATACAAAGAAATATTACATAACATGTAGGTAGGTTTTGTAAAAATAGAGAAGTGCATTTACCTATGCACAAGGTAGTGGAATTTTCATTCATCAACTATACATAAAATACATTTTGTACAACTTTATAGTCGTGGTGGCCCGGGGGTTAAGCAGCCCGCTTCTCATGCATGAGGGTGTGGGTTCGAAACCTGGCAAGTACCAATGTGACCTTTTTCGAGTTATAGTATATGTACTTTCTATGATTAAGTATTTAGACACCACTGACATACGATGAAGGTAAACACCGTGAGGAAACCTGGACTTATAATTTCTAATTATAAGTGCTTGATTAATGCTCTAACCTTCTCCGTATGAGAAGAAGCCTTTGCTCAGCAGTGGGTACTTATAGGCTGATGATGATGATGATGATGACCACTTTATGATCGGAACACAGATCTTGTATCAACTTTAACAGATGTACACAAAACTCACATTATGTAAACATAGACATAAATAAAATAAATATAATATCCCACCATCGATTTATCGTTATCGATATTTATTAGTGATCGATGTATCCCACTAATTATAATGCGAAAATTTGTAAGTAGATAATCTTACACTTGCCGTTTAACGAATATCAATCTATTCGTCACTCTTTCAAATAAACTATTGAACGGATCTGAATGAGGCACCGAGATGGATTATTATCTGGAATAATACAGACAGACCCGAGCTTCAACACGAATGGGTCGGCTCGACAGGAGTGATGCCGGCCACAGACAACCGACGTGGAAGAACCATAGCGCTGTGTCTCGACGTGTTAGGTTACCGGAGGCCCAATAGGTCCCCCTCTCTGCATCACTTCCCAATCCTTAAAAATCCGAAACCCTTATCCCAAAAGGCCGGCAACGTACGCATAAATCCTTTCGTCTCGACCATGGGCGGCGCCGATTGCTTACCATCAGGTAAGGCTTGCTTGCCGATCTATCCCATAAAAATAATACAGGCTAATTTTGACCCAGGCTCCGTGGGCGAAGCCGTTTGCAGAAACTATTAGGTATAAATATGTACCTACTTTTATAAGAATGACAAAACTGAAGAGTAACCATGGAGTTTCTTGCTCGTTCTTCTCCATCGGAATCTACACTTTGGAACGAGCGAATAGCGTCACTAAGAGGACTGATCGACAGACTGACACTTTATATCTTTAAAATTTTGTTTGACGTTCAAAAGTGCCTGTATGGTTCTAATTAAAATAAATGATTTTGACTTTGACTTTACTTTATGTTTTTAAAATAACGCAGGTAACAGACATTCAACAAATTCAATAAAACAATTAAAACGTGTCGGATCAAAAAGGGTTTTTAAATTAAAAACATTTTTTTTTCAGAGTACCTATGACCTTCCCTTAGTATAATTATTTGCTACGGTCATCGACAGAGCATATCTGGTCGGATTTCCAAAATTCTTTCACTAATTGATAACAATGTTCCCGAGTGCTACAGGATATACAAAACCACGCTACAATCAAATGGAGCCGAGCAGCGAGTGAAACTAGCGGGAGTAGCTAGTTCCTTATAAAGCAATTGCGTTTGTATTAACAATACACAAGCTTAACGAAATATAATTCAATTTAAAAAATACACTATTTTATATTACGAGTAGTTTTAGTAGGTAGGTAGGTATCTCAACGCATAAAATTATTTAAAGTTTTTTTAGCGGAAACATATCAATTCAAAATAGGTATGTATAATTAAAACCAGTCAGTCAACTATCGCATCTTTGTCTAAATCTAAAAATCTAATTAAAATAACATTACGACTTTAATTCTCAATTAAAGGGGTTGGCAGAGTCGCAGGGTACTTAGTGTGTAATACCAACTTTTCAAAGGTTATTTAAAACTCTTTATACTTTGCTTCCGTCCCTAATCCCCAAATCCTAACCACTCCTAGAAGGAATGGGTGACGTTGATTGGTTAATATCAAGAGACGCATCTTATCATTTGCCGGCCTATCTCATAATAAATGTATTTCTACAATAATTTATCAGGCATCAAACAAGACTTTGTGATATAATTAAAGCAGAATGTCTGATTACATCTTCCGACTCTGTAATGGAACCCGAGATTCTTTACACAACATCCTTTTTTATGTCACAGGTCTGCAAACGACGATTACCCGATGGTAAGCAATCAGCGCATTGACACTAGTAATATCAAAGGAGTTATGTTACAAGTAGGTACGTGGCCGGCCTCTTATGGGTTATTAGGGATTGATTATGATTGAGGATGAGGGGGGGGGGGAAGATTTGGGATTGGGTCTCCGGTAATCTCACTCACACGACAAAAGACAACAAAAATAAGTGTTGCCGGTTTTCTGTGAGGCCGTGGTATCACTCCGGTCAGGCCGACCCATTCGCGCCGAAACATGGCTCCCCCCACACATCACCAACAAGCAAACAATTTGAAATCAAATAATCGACATCATCACTCCATTACGTAATAGAGCTGGCAGAACTATCAGATCCACATTGGCAGTTAGGTAATAGTCTTGGAATCGAACCGGTTGACCGTGCACCGCATACTTTCACGGCTAAGGGCCGCAGATTGCAAAAAACTGCTTATCAATGAAGTTTTGTAATGACAGGAATTAATACGTGAAGCGGTTTGGTAGAATTTGTACATAGAGTTGTTTCACCGTGGTTGTTTCACGCTCGTTGTATCACGCTGGTTTTCTGTGAGGCCAGGAGGTGGTATCACTCCGGTCGAGCCGACCCTTTCGTGCCGAAGCATGGCTCTACCACAGATGACTTCGAGTAACTAAAGTTTACCTTGAACCCTTTAAACTGTAAACAAGTTTCCCATTCACCTGCCAAGTCCGGAGATCGTGATAAACCTTCTGTAGAACAGAAATAGCTCTAAACAGGAGAACCTATCTCTAAAGTCGTTTTCAAGGTTATTGGAATGCAGACGGGGCCCCATAGGGCTGATGTTCAGCCGGAGTTGCGGGGTAAGCGCAATGAGGCCCCGCGACCTCGGCCCAGAGCAGGAGAAGGAACGGGGGGTTTTAGTCAGTAAGAGTCTGGCACTCTCTTTCGCCTTACTCCTGGGCGGGAGAAGTCATGAGATAATTTTCCCCTGACAAAAAAAAGGTTATTGGAATAAGTTACAAACAGAAAAACAGTCCTCTGTGTTATTAATAGCTTTTGGAAACGACTTCACCCTCGTTATTGGGATTCATCATCAATGCGTAAGGTGGACTGATGACCAAAAAAAAAATATATTTTACAAGGTCAAAAGTTTGTCACACTTACAAAAATATTTGTTCCAAATCTTTTTTTTTTTGTTGTTAGTTTTATTCCACAACATATTCACGGTCAATAAATTATTATATGTTTGTAACTAAGCTAACATTGAATTAATATAAGAAGGTGACGGCCTGTCAGCTAGCCCATACTTATAATTATTCAAATGTGTCTTAATTATGTTAAAATACATCATTTTTTACAGCTTACTGCCTCGTTGGTTTAGTTGTTTGAGACAGGCTTCTCAGCACAAGGTCTTAAGTTCCAAATTTAAGTGAAAAACGAAGTCAAGATCCTATTGTAAGGTGCTGAATTTATGTAACCTTTGTAACCCTGAATCCAGTACATCATGCGGTAGGACCATCACCACAGCTACCAGCCCCACATGACAGTCAACCTAATTCCTTTTCTCTTCTCCTAAATGGGATACGAACCACTAATTGTTTACTAGTTTAATAACAATACCAACCTAATTGTACTTAGAACAATTCAATATTTAAAAATATACCACAAGGAAATCCGAGGTACCATTAGTAAATTCTGTAATTGATATAAACACCTATTCCCATTCACCCCTCTTACACAATACCGTCACGATAGAATAACATAAACAGACACGCATGACGTATGCATTAACTTTTATCAATTATGGCATAAAAGCCTTCGGTTGCGCGTACGCATCCCTACCTGCAATATTTCTCAATAGCGCTTCAGTCAACGTTAGCACGTCGCGTGGGGCGCACGTCTGCCGCGCCATCAAATAATTAGACCGCGAGTGTTTTTAAAATATACATTTATTTGTTTCACAATTAAATAAGAGTGAAGTTTTGTGGAGTGATAACAAAGAAGGTTTTTACAAGGACTGTCGTGAATGTAAGTAGTAATGCACTTGCCCACTGCGTATTGTATATGCGCTTTTGTTATTGCAGGGTAGTTTTGCTTTTTTTACCAAACTCGGCGAAGACAGCGCAATCATTATACAGATAACGATCGGAAAATTATTGCCTTTGCCTAGATTTTTACCTTGAAGTCAGGTCGTGATTTCAAGATCTGTGATTACAACATGTGGACCCTTGTTGACGTGCTTTATTGCTGTGGAGATTCGCGGCTAAATGCATGTTGTGTGCACAGTCGAGCACACTTCCTCAGCAGGACGGAGTTAAGTGACACTGGGTTCAGCGTCATTAGAACTCAGGCGTGTCATTTGTATCTTGAGTGCAATTTTGTTGCAATACTCCGACATTAATCCAGACTAGTCTGAGATAAAGCGACGAACAATAATCAGTTTTTTTTTGTTTTAACACTTTTTAGATACACGCGACGCGACGTCTTAATTTTATTTATTACTACGGGTCGTGTCGAGAAATCGTGAGCTATGTATATTTAGCTATTAAGGCACGATAAAATATATTATTTTTCTTGTAATGTTACTTAATTATGTAGTGAATAATGTCTTCGGTAAATTTGTGATTTTATATTGAATATATTTATATTTAAATTGTTATGAGACCGTATGGAGGGGTCATCGAACGAAAAAAAGGACTAGGTATAGAACAACTTTACCTAAGGAAACTTATAAATTAACCACTATGTAAAAAACTAGGCATAATTAGATGCTTGATTCTATTCTAAATATTCTACCTATAACGAATACTTCTAACTACTTTGAATACTTAAGCTTTAAGCCTACCTTATCATAATCTATACTAATATTATAAAGCTGAAGAGTTTGTTTGTTTGTTTGTTTGTTTGTTTGTTTGAACGCGCTAATCTCCAAAACTGCTGGTTCGAATTGAACAATTCTTTTTGTGTTGGATAGTCCAGTTATCGAGGAAGGCTATAGGCTATATAACATCACGCTACGACCAATAGGAGCAAAGATATAGTGGTAAATGTGTAAAAAACTGGAGAAATTATTTCATCTTTGAAGCCTTCCGTTGCGTGCGCCGTGAAAACGGTTCAAGATACACAAAAAATATGTATTAAAGAATAATAGCTCTTTTAATGATCTAAAAAACAGTCCGCGACAGTATATGTCTATCTTTTAAGATTAACTCACAAAAACCGTTCTTATGGTACCTAATTTGGTCGAAATAATTTGTTTAGGTTGTATCAACATAATAATATTAATCTTTATTCAAATAAATATGTTGTTGGTTAAGAGTACTTCATTGTGAATAAAATTGTCTTTGACATAACTTAATTTCAACAAAAAACTTTAAAGATTACAATCCTAACTAATATTATAAATGCGAAAGTAACTCTGTCTGTCTGTTTGTCTGTCTGTCTGTTACTTTTTCCCGCTTAAACCTCGCAACCGATTTTAATGAAATTTGGTACAGACAATCTTTAGACCCTGAGACAGAACATAGGCTTTTTCGAAAAACAGGGATAACGGGGTTGAAATAGGGGTTAAAAGTTTGTATGGGATTTCGTAATTTTTAAAGATGTTTTTAAAGATAAAACCATAAAACTTAATATTTAAGCACTTGATAAGAAAATATGAAATATTTGTTCTAGCATTTTTGAAATTTCGACCTGCTAGGGGGTGAAATAAGGGTTGAAAGTTAGTATGCAATTTCGTCAAATATCACGTCATAAGAAACAAAAAATCGTTTGTACTAGCATTTTGAAAATTTTATCAGTGTGATATGTAGTGCAATAGGGGATGAATTAAAGATAAGACCCGGAACGGATTCGGAACGGGATCTACAAAGCCAACCTTTATGTAGGTAAGTATACGAAATCTTAACTATTGAACCTAGGAACATGTAATTTAGAAGTTTTGGGTGTATCAAGTTACAAAATACTTTCGAAGTATAAATTCCTTTTAATGAACACTCTGCATCGCCGTCGCTGCCGTCGGCGTCGCGCACATTCGCCGAAGTGCGGCGCGGCGCTGTCGTGTGGTGGGGAAGCGCACGAATCTAACTGGTAGACATACCCAAACGGACAGACACGTGAGGACAGAGGTCGTTGTCGGGTGCGATAAGAGAAATTTGCGCTTTAGAGAATTACATTTTTCGATCCAGTAAAATTATTTTATTGTTTCGTCTATCTTTTTAAGTGTTTTTTTTTTCATTAATTAGATCCTGTAAATAAATTTTGCACATACTTAATATTTCTTTTAGTTCATAGTTACAACGTTACAAGTAGGTAAGATAGTTTCCGTTACTTTAAATAAATACGATTTGCTTTTATTTCCTTTTTTTATTCAATTAATCTAATAGCATCGTACTTTTTTGCATTGGTTGTAAATAAGTACTTATCCAAGTAGGTGCAGGTAGGGTGAACAAAGGTTTTTTGTAATATAATAAATCTTAATCTGTACATCTGTTTTGTTCGATTCATTTCATTTTTGTTGTTCTACGATGCCTCGCAAACGAAAGTCCAATTTAGCTAAAAGCTCTAGCAGAGCTCGGGCTGCTAAATTTGCCAAATCACTAGAATGAGACTTCTCAACAGACCCAAGCTCACCAAGCCATTGATGCCGAGCGTCACGCGGCTCAAAGAGCTGCTGAGACGTCTCAACAGTCCCAAGCTCTCCAAATCATTGATGCAGAGCGTCACACGGATCAAAGAGCTGCTGAGACTTCTCATCAGACCCAAGCTCACCAAATCTTAGATGCTGAGCGTCAAGCTTCGTACATAGCCGCAGAGACCTCCGAAGAAACACGTAGATGACGTTTAATTAATGCCGAGCGGCAAACAGAAAGGAGTACGTCTCCTTTCTGCTTGCCGCTGAATTTTTGTTGCCGTTTACGATGAATACGTGGGAGGTATTTGCCGATGCTGCTTTTAATTATGATCTGTTACTTGATTACTTTAATCATCGATTAGTCCTCATAGGTAGGATGGCCAATAAATGCAGACACTGTGAGGCACTCAAGTGGAAGGAAGAGACCCTAGGTATGTGCTGTTCTGGAGGCAAAGTATCAGTACCAACGCTTGGTGACCCCGAGGAGCAACGACAGAAGAAAGGACAGCAATGAATCTCGGCGATTTTTCCTGTCATCATGCCTGGATTTTCACCCACATTTACGGTACAAGGGCAGGTTTATCATAGGATTGGTTCTTTGCTTTCCACAAACAATAATCAACCAAAATTCCTACAGATTGATTATATGGGAGACGAAAACAGCGAGGTTGACCGTTGATGGCAAAATATTGAAGGAGAGGAGAGGGACATTGTTTTAAAAATTCAAAGAATGTTGCACGAACATAATAACCTCATTAATACCTTCAAAACAGCCTTAGAAAAAATGCCACGGGAAAATCACAAATTAGTAATACTCGGAGATCGTACGCCAAGCGGGGAACATGAAAGACGTTATAATGCACCCTTATAAACGAAGTCGCTGCCATGGTGTGTGGTGAACAGTTCGCATCGCGCGATATTCTTTTTCAAACCCATGATAACACATTGATCAGGGTGTCCGACACACACAAGTTTTATGACGCACTACAATACTCGCTTATGTTTAGTAGCAATGAGCAAGAGGGGTACGTTTTCAAATTCCACAAGAAGTGTGGAATTTGAAAATGGTACTCCTGGGCTGGCCCCTGTAAGAGTCACTTAGACATAAGGTACCAGGATTGACAAAAACTAATTTGACGCGGGCGAAGCCGCGGGCGGAAGCTAGTAATTAAATAAATCTAATTTTGTTCCACGTTGTACAAAAAAAAACTTTAATTATTAATCACTTGAATCTTAGTCAGAATGGATTTGAAACTTGAAGAACTTTAAAAAAAATGAATAAGTTTTTATGAAAATCATTACAAAAAAACAACAATTTGAAAATCGAAAAAACCAAACCAGTCTTTTTTTCTAGAATTTTAAAAAACAAAAACGAATCATTCGCTTTATTATCATAAACAAAAAACAATTTCAAATCTAGAACAAATCGTAATGTGTAAAAAACATTGAATTTTGGATTTGGAACGCATTATGCATTCTGCGAATATAATATCTGGCTAGTTTCGTAACATTTAAATGTCAAGATTATTGTATATACATGAATATGTATGTATATAATATGGAGCCTTCGTCGACATAGCCTCATATTTGGCTAAATAGCTCAAGTGATCGAGAGCAACTAGATTTATAGACGTAGTGTTTAGCTCACTTTTAAGTACTAAATGAGACCTATATCTGGTTCAAAGTATGTAAAACTTAATTATGACCCTTTTGCGGTTATATTTAATTGAATGACTAAATTGTACTTTGTTGAATATTTACGTAGTACTTATACCTACTTTTGTTTTATATGTGTAAAGAATAATTAACATTTAATATTATGGGTTTAGTGTTTCTGTAACTATAATTATGATTACTTATAGGAAACCTTACATTGGACGAAAAACTTACAAAACTGTATAAGCACTAAGTACCTACACAAGAACCTATATTGACATACAACTTACTATTTTTTTTATTATTATAACGATATTCTTAATATTTATGGAAATATTATAAGTACTTTTTGATGTAAAAAACACGACGTCACAATCTCGTAATTAAAAATCATTACAATTTTGACAAATTAAAAAGGGTATTGAATTTGTCTAATAAGATGCCTATTATATATCTAATTGTGTACAATTCCTAATAACTGACTGACTTCTTTTAAGACCTTTCTTCATCATTGTGATTAACCTAACCTTTTAGTTGGAGGAGGAAATATAATCCAAAAAATTTTGAAACATTTTTTTTTTATTATTATATTGTTCTAACGTTAATTAATCTTGCAAATTACTTGTAGCCTACTTTGCTAAGCCCTAGACTAGAAGGACCCTCTTATACCATTTTGCTATCTTCTCTTAATGTGAAAATAAATCCCTGTTAAATCTTTGAAACGGCTAGCTGGACCAACTTGCTTAATTTTGATCACGAAATGTTCCTGATAGTCCAGGAAAAGTTTAAGGGAGACAGACAATATGGAACAATTTCCTGTAAAATACTAAAAATGTCCATTTTGTTTCCTATGCAAACTACTAGGTCGTTAAAATTTTACCAGGAAGGAACCTAACCTGACACTTTTTGAGGAAGCACAGAGTTCGCCGGGTGAGCTGGTAAAAACAATTCGTTAACAAGTATCAGAGAAATAATTAAATTATCTCATTATGTTGGCAATACTTGAGACAAGGGAAAAACATTAAAATTTTACCTTCAGCATTGTTTCTTAACGAGTATTTTGAGAACATTGAAAAAACTGGTTTACTAACTTATACATTCAAACATCCATTAGTTACTTAGAAATAATTTATAATGTACCTACCTAATGTATTTTTGTTGTATATAAATATAAATAATTCAGCTTTAAGGACGATTTATTTCAAGAAGTGTAGGTATAAGGCGAGACCGTGCATTGACGGTTTTTTTTTGTGGGGACAAAATTATCAAATGGCTTCTCCCGCCAAGGGTCGGACGGGAGGGAGTGTCAGACTCTTACTGACTAAAAACCCCACCGTTCCTTCTCTGTACGGCTCACATCCGCTTATCCCGCAACCCCGGGCTGGTGTATTGACGGTGGAGTCACCAGTTCACCACCTTTCTTCATTCCAAGTTACTTCCTATTGGTAGGTATTATAAGCTAACTAATGACCTAATCCATTTGGCAAAGAACTTGCAGCAGCATTACCCATAGTTACGATCACCTGTCTGCCGAGCGCGGAGCTTAACTATCGATAACAAACTTAGATACTTGAAAGGGAGGGAGACCTGTAGTCCTGCAGATCAGTGCGAACATCGCGTAGATATATTATACCAATCATCATCAATATCATCATCAGCCGGAAGACGTTCACTGATGAACAAAGCGTTAGATCCTCCACGTCGACCGACAACTCACGGTGCAGTGTTGATACTGAATTTCTGCATTTTTATTATGGATGTAACTATACATATCTATCTATAAACCTACCTTCTTAATCACTCTATCTATTAAAAAAAACAGAATCAAAATCGAGATTTAAGTATACCTAGGTACAAATATAGGGATAGAAAAAGCGACCTTGTTTTATATAATTTGTAGGGATACCGAACAAAAATGCCAAACTACAAATAAAGTCATTTACCTATGTAGATTTAAAACGTATTATGCAAACGTACTAATTGTCGCCAATTTGCTAAATAAAGACAATTTATTATAGGTACTTACTAAGTTTTAGTAAAATCTACACACATCCACAAAACACGCCAATTAATCCTGTATGTCAGCAAGAATTTGTATTAAAACAGTAATTAAAATACTTCACATTTGTTTCTGGACTGGACATTTATTTTGACAGTCTTTAATTAATATCTTTACCTACATTTTAATTTTAGTAACATTGATATGTATGTACATATGTGAATTAATGCATTAATTAAATAAATTAGTTTTTTTCTCAAAATTAATAACGGACGGAAAACAAGAGCTTTATTTATATATAACGAATTTACCTGATGGTAAGCAATCGGCGCCGCCCATGGAGAACCCAGTACCAGATAAGATACGTGCACATCGTGGTCGACTTATTGGGCGGTTGTTACAATTATGAGGGTTTAGGAGATTGGGGAAAGAACCTGGTCTCTAAGAACCTCAGTCACACGATGTAACACAACGCACGCATTTGCGAAATATTTTACGAAACGCTTTTTAGTAGCAAAGGTACTTTTTTAAAGGCCGGTAACGCGCCTATGACTCCTCTGGTGCTGCAGGTGTCCATGGACGGTGTTAATTGCTTACCATCAGGTGATCCGTCTGCTCGTCAAATTTCGTGTCACGTGTTTGTCCGCGATGGACTCCTAAACTACTAAACCGATTTTAAATTTGATTTGCATTCCGTGTGCATTTTGATCCAACTTGAAAGATAGGATAGCTTACACCTCAATTTATAGTCACAATATTATTTACCTTAGCCACAGCAACGCGTGGCTGGGTCTGCTAGTTATTTATATATTTTGTCATATTAATTAAGATATAAGAATACATATATTATGGCCACACCAAAATGAAAAGTGTTTTTTATTTTCAAAAATGTATTTTAGTACCTGTCATTATTTTATTTAAAAACAAATTCAGGTAGTATGGTAGGGTCGTGTTTTTGATAATTTTGATGCATTCGGTTCATTGCCTTTAAAATACACGCAAAGAGCACCCGAGTATTAAAATTTTTGATTTTATACTATTTTTAAAGTGGAATTCTTATTTATTGTTTACTTATCGAAAATCTTCAACACCTGAGCTTATCATTACCAACTAAACCTTAATAGGTACACCTACATTCACGGCTAAATATAGGGCTCGCCCTAAATCTACCAGACTACACAGTTGACGCCGATAATGGGCTGTTTACAACAAGTCGCAGGTTCGATTCTCACACTGTGAAACACAAATTATTGGTCCGTGATGTGTATGTGATATTGTATTTTTAAAATCCTAGTGTAAGACAACGTTTTTCATAACAAAGAAAATATCTGTTAGTGATTTGCTGTTGTGCAGTGTGTCGCTGGTTCGATTCCTATACGGAACAACAGTTTGTGTGATCCACAAATTGTTGTTCCGGGTTGGGGCGACTTGTGTGTGTGAATTTGTATGTTTGTTAAAGCACCTACGACTCAAATGTGAGTGTGGGCTGTGTGGGGCAGTATTTTTCTTTTTAAAAGACTTCCATTAAAAGCGGCCTGGATCCAGTGACAC